CAGTACTACTGCTTCAGGAGTTTTGGAAAATATTGAAAAAACTTCTATTCAGGTGTATAACCAAGACCAATCCAATGTCAAAACAGTAATATCCGATCAAGAAATGCCTCGCAATGACCTTGATTTATTTTTAAAAGGACATAATCAACCTGTATCAAATAATCTTGCAAGTGAAAAATTCATTATGGTATTTGCTAATACAAAAGTTGTAGATTTTTGTGCTTATTTTTATAATTTTTATAATTTTTATAATTTTTATAATTTTCTCATTTTTGTTGCACATTTTATAAAGCTTATGAGTATGCGGCACCATATTTAGTAACTTATTTTTAAGTAAAAATATAAACGACGATTGTATAGATTTTTTATTTTACTTGTAATATTATAGTCTAGATAATTCTATTTATTTTTAACTTTATTCTTTATCTCATTTTAGTATTAAACTTTTCATCAATATTTTTAATAATATAATTTTATTGTATAGTACATTATAAACCTACATTCAATGGTTATAATATTCACGATTATTAAAGTATTTTGTATTATTGAAAATGAGTCCGTATAGCTTATCTCAATATAATTTTTACAAAATTAACTTAGTTTTTATATTGCAAATATTTTTTTTTATTTTGTAAAATTAATGAAACAAAATGAACAATTAAAATAATTAAAATAAATGTATTATCCTTATCAAAGACTTTCGTTGAAATAAATGATTAAAAAACATTTACTATATATTTTTTCTTATAAGCGTGTGTTTACAGTAAAAGCATATTTATATCGTCAAATATTTTGAAAGAAATTTCGACCATCTATTTATTTTACACACACTGATTATTTCTTAATATAAATATGTAAAACGTGGATACATGATATGATAATGAATTACAATGAGGAAACACCCTTGATCTCAAATGACCTATGTGTTTATATTGCCTTTTTTTTACTGATAACTGAATTGACTCTGTATTAAGCTGTGTAGAAACTATAACTATATGCTTTGCTATACTTGTAGCTCGAATAAAAGTTTACGTTATCAAAATAGAGTCTATGAAATGAATGAAAAACTAGTGGATACCAGTGAATTTTCTATAGATAAAAAAAATTATCTTATTATTGATATGAATTTTCTTGAAGTTGAAGTAAAGTTGCAATATTTACTATTTTAAGATAAAAAAAATGTAAAATTATTTATTCGTGATAAATGCTTGATGGTTAATATACTAAACTAAATAATTGATAATTATTATTTGTATTATAATCTGCTGTAATTTGTTTGCAAGTTGTTTCTTGTGCCATCGAATCCTTTTACAAGATTATGTAGTGATGAAATATTTTTTTGTGTTTTAGACCAGTAAGCTTGGAGCTACGATGTTGGAAAATACAAGCACAATACGTCGCACCAAAGATGTGTCACCAATATCAACGAATGGTGCTCGGCCAAAATCTATTAATGAAGAAAATGATCAAGCGACATTAGTGCATAATGATATTGATCCTGATTATTTAACACTTTGGCAACATCCTATAATAACTCTCAATTATTTTATAAAAGAACTATTTTTTGATTGCCTTAGTTTTGCAAGAAAAACTCTTCAATACAAAAAAACCGTATTTTGTATAGTAGCTTTTATTACCTTATTTTTTGTATTAGGTAGACTATCTGGGCCACAGCAACAGGTAAATAATATATAAATAATATATAAATATACAATTATCATAATCCAATTAAAAAGAATGTATTTAATGTATTGGGAACAAACATTTAACTATAAATATAATTTCAGATTTTTAAAGCTTGGGAAGCTCAAGTAATATGGTGGCTCTATTGGATAGGCTTGGGGGTTCTTTCAAGCGTTGGTCTTGGAACAGGATTACATACATTTGTTTTATATTTGGGACCACATATAGCAGCAGTGACAATGGCAGCATATGAATGTGGAACTCTGAATTTTCCAGAACCTCCGTATCCTGATCAAATAATATGTCCAACAACTATTGATGTAACTTGGACAGTAGGTATATTGAATATAATGAGAAAAGTGCGCATTGAAGCAATGATGTGGGGAGCTGGAACTGCTCTTGGAGAATTACCACCCTATTTCATGGCCAGAGCTGCACGTACTAGTCGACAAAGTAGCAAAGATCAAGAAGAACTCAAAGAATTAGAGGCACTTGAAGCACTCGAGAGTGGAGAAAATATCCCAATTGTTATGCGTGCAAAATTAGCCATGAAGCATTTTGTTCAGAAAGCTGGATTTTTGGGTATCCTCGCTTGTGCATCAGTAAGTAAATTATAATATAGAATTTTATTATAATCAAGAATTATTTTATTTATAATATATATTTTTAGTTATTTATAATTATTTTTAACTTTTTTGTATTTGTATTATTTTAATTCTTAATTTTTATAGATATAATATTTCTTCTTTGCTAAGGTCTATAATATGTAATAATCTAACATAGTTAATGTAGACTTTCATTTATAATTAAGTAATTATAAGTCATTAGAAACGCTTATACAAACACTTAAAAATAGCTAGACGTTAATAAATTAAATAAATGAATAATTAAAAATAATATATTCTATTTTAATATTTAGATTCCTAATCCCTTATTTGATCTTGCTGGTTTAACCTGTGGTCATTATCTTATACCATTTTGGACATTCTTTGGTGCCACTCTTATAGGAAAAGCTATTGTTAAAATGCATATTCAGCAATTAGCTGTAATTATAGCGTTCAATGAAGAATTGTTAGATAAAGCAATTGGTTTTTTGGCATACATACCTGTAGTAGGTACAAAATTTCAAGAACCATTGAAAAAGTATCTTGTTGAGCAAAAACGAAAACTACATGACAAATCGGCAGTTGTAAGTGGTTAATAACAAATATAAGCATATGTGTGTGTGCGCGCGCGCGTGTGTATGTATGCGTGTATAGTATTAATTTATTTTTAAATATTTATTTTCATCAAATTATTCAATCAGAAAAATGTAAATAATTTATTAACTAAGTAATCTAAGTATATATATACATATACATATATATATTTAATGTAATAAAATGAATGAATTTTGTTTCAGGAGTCATCAACAACTATTTCATGGTTATTTGATAAATTTGTTATGCTTATGGTGTGTTATTTCTTAGTAACAATTATACATGCGCTTGCACGTAATCATCATCGAAGACGCACAAAATTATCCACTGATTGACCAATGATTAAATTAGATTAAATTATTCACTAAACAAATTCTACAGGGCATGAGCCACCATGCACTAAAAGAAACAACGCAATTGCGGAGAAATAATTAAATATCTGCTCCGATCTTGCCTCGATGTAAAAATAATTATAATCAAATCAAGTCCTCCAATCAAGTTGGTGCATTACAGAAGCATCCATAATATTATTGAATATTCCAATTGATGTATTGTTTTTGACCTGAATTGTTTTGCTTAACAAGGGCCATTGTAAGTTTTTGTAATTGTGCAAGTGCTTCTTGTGATTAAAGGATATTATTGGATTTTATTGCAAGTTATTTGTTATAACGAGGTTTAAGGTCAAATACTCTTTCTGTCTTTGGACCATATGTTTTTAATTATATAATACCTGAGATGCAGATTATACAAATTGGGCGAACGCTTCTTAACCATTAAAATATTTTAAATGTAATTGTAATTTTTTGTGTGCACCTAATATGGATTAGAATCGTTCGCATAATTTTTATTTATGCACTAGCTCTTGATAGTATATTTTTTTTTTGCTAATGTGACGTGTTGCGCGTGAGTTAGCTGATTACATTCCATAATCTCAAATAAAGCACGCGTAATGAACTAATTATATTCTGAAAATGTAATGAAAATTGTCTGCGAAGTTATGTTAATTCTTTATCACTGTTACTTGTTTACAATCACATGTTATTTTTGTCATGCCCTTACAACTCATCTGAAAAGGAGCGTTTCATATTTGAGATAGCGATTGTGTCAACAATTATATTTTGTAAGTTGAGTGGTTATGTACATTGATAAAGAAACTCCTGTTCCTTTAAATAAATTTCTACACCTTTGCAAATATATTTTCTTATATTTTTATATACCTTGCCCTATTTTTCATTTAACGTTTTTGTTTCAATAAAATAGCATGAATAATTTATTCATTTTACTATAAATATATATCATTATACAATGTTATAAACCCAACCTTCATCATTATGGTAATAAATTCTTGTACATTATTAAGTACTTTTGTTATGAAATATTTTCATAGTTTCTATTTTGTAAACAAATTTGAAAAGCAACATATTCAATTAAATTCCAAAACGATATAAATTAAATTTTTAATATCTTAAATATATTTACATTAATGTAAAATAGTTTAACAATTGAAGTCATCTTATTTTTTATTAATATTAAAAAAAAATAATAATACACATATTTTACATAATTATAAAAGAATATTATAAACTATATAATTCATTTAGAATTTGTAATTGGATACAATTTTATTTGTCAGATTTATCACTTGTCTTTGATTGTTGTTTAATTCTATAATCTGACAATGCAGCTTTAATTGCATCCTCTGCAAGCACTATAAAAAAATTGATTTATTATAAAAATAATTATATCAATTTAATATCAATAAAAAATAACCAAGCATATTTCTTACTTGAACAATGCAGCTTAACGGGTGGGAGACTAAGCTCCTTAGCAATATCAGTATTTTTCAATTTTAAGGCTTCATCAACCTACAATAAAAATTAATAATTAAAAAAAAAATTGGAAAAAAAAAATTTAATACATGTTGATCCGTTAGTATATTATCACATTAATTTAAATAAAACAAAGTTAAAAATTATAATAAGATATATAGCCAATTATATATTAATCAGTATTAATTACTTATGGTAAATATTTAATTTTGTATAAATAAATTTGTAAGAAATTATAAATATTAATCTTATATATTTTATATTATAATTTTTTGTTTTAATCTCTACACAGATACATATATAAAATAATAATCCTTTAATGCAAATTAATTTCACTTAATTTAATATCTATATACCGTTTTTCCTTTAACCCATTCTGTTGCTAATGAACTAGATGCAATGGCTGAACCACATCCAAAAGTTTTAAACTTAGCATCAATGATTTTACCATTATCATCAACTTTAATTTGAAGTTTCATAACATCTCCGCATGCTGGTGCTCCAACTAAACCTGTTCCTACGCTTTCATCATTTTTGTCCAAACTTCCTACGTTTCTAGGATTATCATAATGATCTAAGACCTAAAAATTTGTATTTTATAAAAATTTATCTTTTATCATCGACCAATTATTAATACATCAAATATAAATAAATTTTATACTGAGAAGATGTAATATTTAGAAATGAAATTAATTTTATGTAGTAATTTAAATTTTAATCAATTTATTAATATCAATGGTTGCAAAATAATATATATATATAGAAGTATAGATAATATGGTATGGCAATATAACAAATGTTATTATAGATTTATTGTAATATCAGTCTATCTATATTAGCTATTGTAAAAGTAAAAAGTTGTAGTGTAATTAGCAGAATGTTTTAATCTAAACATAGGCATTAAAACATAAATGAAAAATATCGTTTACATGTTCACATTAATAAAAATATTCATGCACCTTTTTCAATGTAAATTTCAAGGTTAAATTATGGGTCTAATTATATTACTCACTTTTGGATGATAGTAAAGACATGGTGTTTTTGATAAAGTATATTTCGATAATTCTATAAGCTTGGGTGGCAAAATGCGCCACAAAGCCATTTCAATTAATAATAACAAATTTTCTTAAAAAAGTTTCTTCTTCAATGCGCCACTGATCTTTGACAAGTCTACTACAAATAGTCTGTTCATTGTTAGTATACAATGCTAAGCACAAACACTTACGTAAAAATATACGTGGTGCAATAAAATGAAAGATAAATAATTATGAGTACGTTCAAATGCATCAACGTACATTAGGCAACTTTTGAATATTTTCAAGACTAAATTTATAACAAGGATGTCTTAAGAATTAACTTTCAAATTATTTAATGCAAATTTTTAACTAAGCGTTCAAAAGAATTTTCATTCTTCAAATTTCATTTTTTAAACACAAATGGATAATTAGTATAATTGATAGTTCAAAAGATCCTTTAATCTACTAAAAAAAGATTTTTTTCATAATTTTATTACAAATATCAAAGTTTATCTAAAATATTGTTAAAAATATTTTTAATAAGAATTTCATAAGTTAGTGTCTCTAGTTTAGTATTAAGAAAATATTTATTTTAATAGCAGGGTTTTTATTTAACGGTTTTCCATTTGAATTGTTACATAGATAAATCGAATCAAAATTATTTTGTTTAAATTAATGTTTATTTTGTTATTTATTCATGGAATAATTTTTATTGAAATAATGCAAAATTTAGAATTGTTGTAGCCGATTCTATAGCACAATCATATATCCTGTTATTTTATAACCTCTGCTAAACATTAGCAATTGCCAAAGCATATAGTATTATTATTTAAATTATTATAAATGTATACTTATGGGGAATATCAATTTTCTTAGCTATAATAATTAAAGATAATAATATTTATTAATATGTCTTTCCAACTTCAATTAACATCTTTGCTAGGTAATCATACAAAGAATTTATCAGAGTTAAAACAAATTGTAATCAGGCCATTGTTGCAAAGTAAGTGAAAAATAAGTTATTTCAACACTCTTTTAATTATTTTATTATTCTCATTTTTAAAATGTTTCAATAATAATCAATTATTCAATTTCGTTCTTCATAAACATTGTAGTATTAACAAAAATTATATTTATTTGAATAAATTTTGCAACACAATGTATGTTGTAGTAAAATTAATTAATCTAGTTGCAGTGAAAGCTATAGAACAGGAGTACATAGAAGAAGGGGCCTTAGAAGTTATTAGTAAAAATTTTAATGTGTCGCAAGCACACGTCGATGAGTGGTATGCTGCTATTCTTATTATTATGAAATTGCATTTGCGATATTCTAGCGCAGCGATCAAACCTACAGAATTTAAACAATGTTTACAAGAATTAAAGTAAATAATTTGTTACTGCGATTTGCTTAAAATTGTACGAATAGAAATATATAAAAGAAAATATATATTTTCAGATTCTCTCCAGAATGTATACAAGATATATTTTCAGTTCTCACAGGACCAAAGAGATTAGATTTGATAACAAGTTTTACAAACAAAGTTGATTTCTTTCCACACTTAATTGCTTGCAAATGGAGAGTGGACATTATAATTTCTTCCAAGTAATTAATTATAGTATAAATTCGATTTTATAGTTAAATAAAATTAATAATCTTTGTATATTGTAATTTTAGTTTAATGTCAAAAATTTTGGAGCCTCATGTATTGTTAGAATGGATTTTAAGCAATGGTGAAAGTTATACTTTTGAATTGTCTTTACCACGTTTTCATCAAATGCGACACGCCGTTGCAAAACTGTTATTAGAGATACAAAGACTCGAAGTTTATAATGTGATAAAAAATAATGCGTAAAGTTTTATATAAGTTATAAGAAGATATATAATTATAAGCAAACAAGTGTGTAAGAGCGTGTGTAAGCGTGTGATTATTATATTGTATAATTCATGCATAGTCTATTATATTGATTATAATTCTCTGACAAAGTATATGTTTTTCATTATGAAATATAAATAAAAATATATTTTCATTTGATATTTTGATCGATTCATATATATTGTAAATAATTTTGTTCATTTAATAAAATAATTTATTATTGATGCATGCATATACGTAGTTTGAAATAAATGCAGGTAATTCGATCTCTCGAAAGTTCGGGTCTTATTGCCTGAAGTTTGAATATGTTTTATAGTTTGTGATTGTGCCAGATCATTGTGGTGTCGTGGCTGTAGGCTTATTTTTTGTAGGACTAGAAAGTAGGACTAGGACTTCTCGAGTCCCGAATACTGATCATCTCGTCTCCGATTTTCTCGACGGTTCTCGTAGCTCGCGACTCCCCGTCTTTTATATGTTTTTATATATAATCTAATTCTAATATCTAATATATTGTAGATTGTAGTCCGTACTTTGTAGTTAGTTATTTCAAGATGGCGGCAAAGAGTGGTGGTGACGTTTATTGGAGTTCTGTTATAAAACCAATTTTAACTGCACCTTATGGGTGTTTCAATACAAAATATATTATTGACCTAGTCAAAGTTATAATTCAATGGTAAAAAAATATTTTAAATCTAAACAGTAGACTAGTAGTAGTAGTGTACGAGAAAAATATAATCCTTTGATAAGACCTTAGTGACTCTGTACAAATGGAAGCTCAAGCGTATCAATTTATTACTTTAAAAGAAATCTTATCGATTTTGTTTCATTCAATGTTAAATTGTACGCAATTTTCTATTAATTACAATTTTATCCTATTTTAAAGTAATATTTTTATTTAAAGAAAATTATTAACTGATTTGTAGAAGTGTAATTTTTCCAAGTCATTGGTTTTCATAGAATTTTTAGTGTTAGTTATTATCAAGTCTGTTTCTAGAGTTTTTACTTGTAAACTAAATTCATGTTTTTGAATATGACAAATTAATATTCTTACTCCGTAGAAAAAAAAAAAAATAAATAAATAAAACAGAACAGTCTCTTTTTTTAAAGATTACTAATTCATACAATTATTTAAAATATTCATCAAAATATTAATTTATTTCCTTTTTAAAAACAAACATTTTGAAAAGGGACAAATATTTTTCTTTTATATTATTATAATAAATTATTGTGCAAGTGGAAAGGAATATTTCTAATACAATTTTCATTTTATATATAATCGATCGTTTTCTTAATAAATATTTTATAGTGAACCAGAATTAATATCCCACGATGAAGAATGTGAAGGCTTTTATACATCGTTTGTTGCATTGGCAGCAGATTATATCGGTACCTGTGCAAGTACTTGTATGTATATTTATTGACATAAGAGTATATTTAATAATTAAAAAATAAATTAATATTAAGCAATTAATTAATATATTTTATGTTTAGTTACTAAAAATCAAATACCTGTTGTTTGGCAAGCATGTAGAATATTATTAACATATTTAATCGGTAAATTACCGCAACAGACTTCTCAACCAGGAGAAAGTAATGGTCCAACTATTTTAACAACACGACAATTATTGTTATCAATAAGAGCATTATGTATTGGAGATTCTTTACTTGCAAACTCAGAAGAAGTTGCTTTAATTGCTATAATGAAAAATACAAAAGTTCCTCAAAGTGTAAAAAATTCACCTACAGTTGGTGAAAAGGAAAGTCCTCCACAACCAATAAAAGAAACAAAACGTGTTCGTAATGATTTATCAACAAGTATTTTAGAACAATTAACTATGCCTTTACAAGATTTTGCTATCAATAATGACACTGCTTTTGATAGTAATAATAAATCTAATTCTGATAATGCAAGCAATGAACGAGGAACAGATATAAAGGTTAGAATTATTCATATGAATTAAATTTAATAATTATGAAAGAATATCTAATACCTATTCTTTATGAACGATAGTCAAAAGTTTTCGTTTTCGTAGAGCATTTTAAACAATTACATTGATGATACGGTTTCATATAATTTTAAAGTCAAATTTAATGTTACTTTATATCATAATTTATTTAAGAAAATACTAACTTATATTAAAAAAATTTTTTTATTTTTAGTTAATGTTCATTGCAAACAATATCAATACTCTTCAAAGTATGGGCGCAGGGGATATACTTCTTAATATGTGTTCCAATCTACCACATTTATCTCGTTATGCAAGAAAATATCAAGCATACTTGAACAGAAAAAGTTTTTGCTTACCAGCAAATCAATCGGAAGCTCATACAATACGTCATAGTCTTCATTCTGTTGTCAATGATATTAATATTGTACATAATATTGTATCTTTACCAATTCTTGAACCATTGACCCCAGCAAAATTAGAAAAATTGTCATTGCTAACTATGGCTTGTCTTTACTGTTCAATTGCAAATGCTACAGCATCAAGTATTGTTGGAATTACTAATGCAATTTCACCAAAATGCAATTCTAATGCAAGTGTTAATCCACAAAGTAGTCAAAGTACTAAAAGTACTGAAGAAGAATATGATGCATTAGCTATTACAGTTGTAGAACGAAGTTTAGAAATTTTTACTTTAGTTTCCAATATAATTAGACATAGTACAAGAGCTGGTGGGCATGTAAGTATTTCGTTGTTTTAATTGAATTTTCAACCAAATAAAATTTGACAATATATAGTTGAAGTATCTATTTTTTTATAAAGAAAATTTTGTAATTTGTTTTCTAATTTAATTTGAAATAAAATTAATTCCATTTTTTTACAGATACTTCAAAATCATTTATTAATTGGTGTATGGCTTTTGGTGGCTGGTTTACAAGCTCAATTATCCGTTAGTAGTTTTAGTGTAACTGATAAAGGAAAAGAAGAAAAAGGAAAATCACCGAGTAAAGCACGCGATGGAAGTGGTAGAATAAATTTAATGAAAGTGTAAGAAATTATTTACTCACTGGTCTATACAGAAATTTTTTAATTTATGCTTATTATAAATAAGTTTGTTGATTAACTATAATAAGTTGTATAATTATATATGTGTATTATCAATAGACAACAAGGCTTTGGTGTTTTATCAGTGGCCTTAGCATCACATGCACTTACGTTAATGGGTGCTCTTTTAGAAGATGTTTCTGTTGAAGCTGGCGTAGAACAAATTTCACCACCAGAACCAGCTCCTTTAGATATTTTAGCTACTGCTACAGCTTTAGAAAGAGTATCGACATTTTTCCAAGCTGCACCTTTAAATCATTTATTGTTTTATTTAGCAACTATAAGCTATCGAAAAGTAATACATTGTACTATAATTATATCGAATATTTAATGTAAATTTAAATTAAATAAAAAAGTTATATAAATTTTAAAATTTATATAGGCTTGCACACTTAAAAGAATACAAAAACATCCTCTTGAAGGTGATACATTAAGTCAATCTGATTCTACAACTTATTATGAAGATCTTTATAGTTGTTCTGAAAGTTCCACTGATCAAGGTATCTATAATTTTTATCAGTAGTTTATTTGTTATTGTATGCAATTTTTTTATAAAAATAATTTTAAATTTGTTTTTTATTTCTTAGAAGAAGATAGTGAACCTATTTTGGGACTTTGGTTTGAAGAGACTTTAGATTCATCTGATGGACCTCCTGCTAGTACAGCAAAAGATACTAATGAAGAAGCAAATACAGAACGCAATGCAACTGTAGTACCTGATAATCGAGAGCCTCATGGGGTATATAACCTATTTGTTATCTATACATTCAGTCATTAATGTTTAATTTTCAATGTTATTTTTTCTATAGTACATTGCATTAGCAACTCAAATTTTTCAATTCATGAATCAACATTTGATTGGCAGCAGAAGTGCCTATGTAAGAGAATATGTTGTCAATGGTTTAGTAGAACAACAAATGGTAATATTAGCTGCAATAATAAGAGATTTAGACCATGAAGCAGCTCGTACAGAGACAGGTAGGGGCTTAATATTAATAAAATCTTTTAATTTAATATGAATTAGGTATTGTTATTTCTTTGTATTTAATAAAATTGAGACGATATAATCTTGTTGTTTTAATAGAGAATAAGCTGACATTTTTTTTTTTAGGTACTATTTCAGTTTTTTATGGTGCCACATTAGGTGCAATGTATTCTGAATTTTCACAAGCTTTAAGTCGATATACACATAATTTATTAGCAAGAAATACATTGAGTGAAACTTTGCAGAATACTTTGCTTCACCACTTAGGGGTTAGTCCTTGGTCAACTGAAAGTGCCAATTCTTCATCTTGGCCTTTACAAGTATATCCAAGAACACTCAGTGTTCTTGCTCAGGTAGATAACATTTTTAAATAGTATTTTTAATTTTTGTCAGAAAATATTAATTTTAAAATTATTTATGCTATAGATACTTCTATTAAAACCACAATCAGAGAAAGAAGCAGCTTGTATTAGCATTTGGCAGAGATTAGTAACAACAATGGTTGAAAATGTTTGTAATCCTCCTATGACTTTTGAAACTGAAAACGAAGGTGAGTAAATTAATTAGCATAAGTATTTGTTATTTGTATTTGAATTATTATCAAAATAATATATTTTTAGATTTGAATGTAGAACATGCCCAACTTGTTCTTTTTCTTTTTCACTCATTGAATTTAATGCAAAAGAAATCTGTACTTCTTGTAACGGGTAGTGGAGCAGTTCGATGTAGCGAAGCAATTAAAAGTCCAATGAAGGATTCGCAAATATTACATTTATCACGTTTACTTCTTCTTCTCGAATACATGATGAAACATTTATACGATGCACCTACTAGTTTACTAGAACAAGTAAGGCATACAATGCAATTATTAAGTATATTATATTGTTAAGTATGATTTTTCAATGCATTATGCAGTGGATAATTCTGGCCTTTTAATGCCATGTTTTTTCCATTTTGTTCATTTCATTTTTTTTTTTTTTTTTTGTCGCTCACTTAACATTTTCATTTGCCACTATAATGCAAGAGTAAAAAATTAGTTTTTGGTAAAATAAACTGATTAGAGAAAACAGGGCCGTCTCTTTGATAGTGTCGACTGAACGGTAGTAAAAATCTCGCACAAGTTAACAGATTAAAAAATATTTGTTAGCAATAAAATAATAAAATATATTGATTAATAAAATAAAAAAAAATATTTCTATTATTAACTGAACTCTTTTATTATAGGTTCAATGGAATTTGTTTTCTGCTACTAGTCTAGTCTCTGATACTAAAGAAGGACCTAAGCAAGCTGCAAGAATTTATACTCCATGGAAAGAGATTGAAGATAATTATCGAAATTTTGGTCCACAAGATGAATTTTCCATGAAACCACGATTTTACAATCTGACTACTTATGATTTTAATAATCAAGATACACCTAAATTAGATGGATTGGTATGATTAATTTTTATATTATTTTAATATTTATGTACATTACTTATTTTTCATTAATTTTTTATTAAATTAGGCTTATAATTTTATTTTGGGAACGCCCGATAAGATGAAATATCCATTATTGATTGATGCTCTTATCGATATTTTGAATATTTTAAACCAAACTAACTTACCTAGAAAATCTGGATCAGAGAATAAAGACAAAATGAGCTGTACTGGTTTATTTGCTACGCAATACTGCTTTTCCATTTGTTGGAGGTAAAATAATTAGAATGAGAATTTTTAAATTTATAAGATTGATTATAATTGTAATTTCATTTTTATAAATTTAGATTATTACTCATGTTACCACCATCGACCCCTTACATGGATAAACTTGCTTTAGGAGAAGAAATTCCAGCAGGTCCACTTTTACTTCATTCTTTAATATGGGGACCACGTGCTGCTTATAAAACTTTCACTGGTTGGATGAAGGTAAAGCGCAAAAATTTATAATAATTATTTTAAAAAATAATTCTAAAATATTTGTAGTTAATTGTAATACAGCGATAATTTTTAAATATAATGCAATTAACTATAATTATAATGAGTTTTGTTTTTTATTTTACATTATGCAGGATTGTTTGGTTAAACAAGGCATGTACACAGAATATGCAAAAAATTTATTAAAAACAGTTTCATCAACTGTTAATTCTTTAAAATACGATGTGGCACTTGCAAAAAATTGTATAAAATCTTTAAAACCAGAGGTTAACGCAAATGAAAAAATTATACCAAAATCGTCTTTACCAAAACTGAGTTCACTCTGTATTTTAGCTGCAGTAATAGGAAAATTGCAAGTTGTAATGGATGAAAGTATATGGAAGTCTACTAGTGATAATATCGAAGCTTCAAAGTATTTTACAGTATTTATATTGTTTTAATTTTCTTTATAATAACATGCAATTAAAATTTATTTTTACATTTTTCAGAGTTCAACAAACAACAGAGTCTACTGCTTCAAACGCAAATAAACTTGTTGTAGAAATATTACCACATATTTTATCATTGACTGATGCAATTTTAGTGTCGTGTCGATCTAATATTTTATATCAAATCCAAGAAACTTCGGAAAATAGTAAAAAGTATACGATGAGAGATTTTCTTATTCTTGATGAAATAATTTGCATGAGTGGTGCAACTTGGGCAAGTGAACCTTCGCTAATTAGTCTGCTACCAAACAATGTGCGATCAGTACTCGATAAATGGAAAAATATAAATTTTTCTCATGTTCCTTGGGTATGCAAAAAAATTTTTTTAATTTTTTGATTAATGTTTTTATTATCTACTACATGAGTTTTATTCTTTATATTATTAGAACAACTATGCCAATGATATTATTCCAGCTGAAAGTTATATTTTAACAACTATTAATCATCACATTAATTCTTTATCGGAATACGGATCATTTTCTATTAATCCATCTTTGAAAAATTTATTATATTCATTGGTCACATTTATCATGGAATATGTAAAGTGAGTGTAAAATAATAAATTTTATTTTAAAATTAAATATTTTAAAGAAAAATGTACTATCTTTCTTCTTTAATTATAGATCTACAACAGAAAATTCTGAAATTCGAAATCATGCTATAGATATTCTTATTTCATTAACAATGGATATGCGAACAGAGTCTTTCCATAAATTGGCTTCAGCAACTCTGAATACCTTGATTGGTGAGCCAGAGAGTGAAGTTCGACAGATACGAGAACATTTATTTGTACTCAATCGTACATATAATTTAATCGTTGATTATACCAGTAATTCCGATGATACGATTAAGTAAGTAAATATTAAATATGGAATATTGTTTGAATATTATATGCTTTATGTATTTTATTTTCAAATATTAGCATATCAATTGATGGAAATATTTTAAAACAATGTATTAAGTATTGGGAACAATTATTAGAAAAACCAGTCGGTTGTAAAGCTTTGGATCAATTTTTTGCACCAAACACAAATAGAACGCTTGTGTCAGTTCTTCTTTCAATAGCATCACCACAATCCTCTCAACAGTTCAGTAACCACGTATTACACTTTTTTAATAAACTTTTTAAAGCCGGTAAGTCAATTTAACATTGCTTTTAATAACGGATTTAGTAAAATATTTAGTAAAATATTGTTGAATGAAATTAGCTGAAAAAGAAAACGACGGCTCTCTTGATCGACTATGTAGATCAGTATCCAATTTAGCTAAAGTGGATAATGAAAAGCTCCAATCATGGCTTGGACATGTTATTCTTGGAACTTCAAGTCTTGCTTCAAACACACCACCTAAAAATTTACCAGCGCCAGTAGTTCCATCAGCTTCCATGTATTAATATATTTTTTATATTTAATAAGTATTTAAGATTTTTATATTTGAAATTAATCGAAGAAAATGTTATAGCACAACACCTGTTGCTTCCACTTCTGAAGAAGCACCTAAAAATGATACAACAAATAATATTCAAAATAATGAACAAGTTCAAGGGCAATGGCAAACATTATTGACAGACGCTTCAACACCAAATAATCAAGCACCAGCGTCAATTGAAGAGCAACCGTCTTTACTAGAAAATAATCAATTGCTTCGAGCACTTACTAGTTATATTGTTAAAGAACATAGGTAAATTAATTTGAAGTTATCCGAGTTATAGTGAGTAAGTACTAGTTCGAAAAATCGTAAATTTAAAAATTGAAATATTATTTAAGTATTGTCAGCGATGGGGTATCAGTTACCATTCTTCAAGGCCTTATACCAATAGCTTCTCGCATTTTGTCTACATCTGCAGAAGGTGTGAGTTTTTCTGAATTAATGCAAGTAATGTCAACTCTAGCGGATGCTGGATCTGATAAAGGTCACGTTTTGCTTTTTCAATCTGCTATTAAATGGATAGAGCTGTGGTAAGTTATAAAATATATGTAAATAATTTGTGAATAAAATTATTGAGCTCAATTTTAAATTTAAATTAATTGATTTTGTTGCAAAAGTATAATAGTATTTAACATATTGTATAATGTATTTTACTTAAAAAGTAAACATTTTTATAATTACATAAATCTTATGAGCTACATGAAATGAAAGTTTTAAAAAGTATGACGAAATTTTTTAATGATTGAAAAAAGCAATACGTAAAAGTTTAAATTTATTTCCTTTATATAAAAAAAATTTATATATATATACACACAGATATTATTATATATATTTTTTTACATTTGCAGCAGATAAATTTTTTATCTCTTTAATGTTAAAATATATATTTTAATACATAAGCATGTGAAATATTAAATTTCTTCAATTTACATTTTTAAAACAATATTTTACAGCAAGGGACAGCTCTTGATTAAAGAACCACAAAATCTTGACAAGTCTTCATCATATATAGAAGCAGGATGTTGTATATTGAATTATGTAGCCGATATTATGAATGCAGTCTGTCCTCAGAAACTTATTCAAGATCGTGCAACGAGTCCACCATGGGAAGGTGCGCAGCCATGTAATGACGTTACGGACAGTGATTGGATCGATGAAATCGCTCACGATGATGACGACAGCGGTGCTGAAGACTCGGACGAGGATAATCTGTGCAACAAACTTTGTACATTCACTATAACACAGAAGGAATTTATGAATCAACATTGGTATCACTGCCATACTTGTAATATGGTAGATGGCGTAGGGGTTTGCTCGGTCTGTGCCCGTGTTTGCCATAGGGGTCACGACGTCACCTACGCCAAGTATGGTAACTTTTTTTGCGACTGTGGTGCAAAGGAAGATACATCCTGTCAGGCACTTACAAAAAGAAGTCCTCAGAGTTCTGAACATCCAACTACTAATGGAGCATCATATCATAATGCTAACGGAAACAGTGATAGTCAAATGTTATTGACAAGTAGTCTTAGACGTAGAGCATCGAGTCCTGTGCACTTCAATGAAAAACACGAACGAAGTACAAAAGACAAGCAAAAGCAACAAGCTCTCGCTAAACAATTAGGTAATATCTTTCGCTTAATTTGTAATTTAATAAATTAGGTATTGGATTTTTCTCTTTTAAAAAGAAAAGCATTCTATATTTGAGCTTATAAAACACTAACAAATACATACAATTTATATGAAATACAATGAAAGATAAGTCTGCTTAACAATTTTGATATCCCCTGTAGATATAGTTTGCGTTAAAAAAGAATTCGTAGATAAACATTGGATATTGAATTTGAGCCAGATCAAATATAAACAACTTATTAGATAAACTAACATAAAATAATTAGAGAATAGTTGGACAAAAATACCCATCGTTGGTGTAGAGAAATATACCCGTTGATTTTAATTTTATGAATTATTTAAACTAGTTTAAGAATAATAGGGTTATGTTAAATATAATTTATGTTAAAGTTTGACGAATTTTACGAAAGAATTATTGCGTTAATGTTGTATAATATAAAAAACAAAATGTATTTAGCTATATGGCATAATTAGTAATAGATGATCATTTTTACTGTACTATCGCTACTTTTATAAAACATAAATAAGAGAGCCATTTTCTGTATCTGATTTTTATTCGTGTTTGTTAAAATGTTTCCAAGAATAGATTATGACAGCAACAACTAAGGCTATAAAATAGATCTTTATATTTTTTCGGGCATATGTATAAAGCATTTAAAAAGTATTTAAGCAATCGTGCTGCTAATTGATTGAAAAACAATGTTCTTTTTTCTTATAGATTCCCAAAAATTCTTTATGTATTTCGCTTTTGGTCACTTTAATAGTAAATATATTAATTTCCCACCAATATATATCTGAATAACCTTTTTTTTTTTATATAATATTCATATTATATAAATTAAATGTTAAACTATTCAATAACACTTAGTATTTTTTTGTATTAGAAATGATTTATGTTAATTTTAGAAGGTTCAAAGGATTGGATCTTATCGAAATTGTGGGGCAGTGGATTAGTTCTTTCGTTAGTAGAACTGACTAATGGCTTAATACCAGCAGTCGAATCATCTTGTGAAAAATTTTCACCCGTCGGTTGTCACTCACGAGCACAAGCTGCTTTGTCACAACTGCACTATGTACAAAAAAAATTCGAACATACCGATCAACTTATGGTAATTTTAAAATAAAATTTTTTAATTAAATATGTATCATCGGATATTCAACTTCTTTTACTGGTTACAGTAAATAGTAAATAATATATAGTAAATAAACTCAATATTTCGAAATATAAATTATAATTATAATTCTTTTCATTGTACATTTGTATCAAATGCAGTTAATTCATCATATTGATTTTTAATATTACAAATTTTTCTATTTGTCAATAATTTTTACTATTAAATATTTCATTGAATATGAAATTAATAAAATCTTTCTTAGCTACATTAACTGTAAAATAGCCTGCAGTTTAAGTGTGAATTATTTTTTGTTCAAAGCTACCAACACTTGGATCGCAAGAAGGAGCTTTTGAAAATGTGCGAATGAATTATTCAGGTGATCAAGGACAAACTATTCGTCAACTTCTATCTGCACATATGATTAGAAGAGTAGCTATGTGCTGTTTATCTTCTCCACATGGAAAGCGACAGCATCTTGGTAAATGTTTAAAATTACAAATAATTTTATACTCTAGTTGTAAAATACTTTGTTTTGCTTTTTGTTTTTGTTTGACTCTTTAAACTAAAGATATTCTAAAATGTATTAAATAAATTAATTATTAAGCAAGATAAATGTGTCATTTTGTATTTATACAGTTATGTACATATATCGAATGTCAAAAAATATGGGATTGTAATTTTTAACTTGTTAGAAATTTGTATTAACAAAATTAGATAATATATTGTAATGTTATTCTAGCCGTGTCCCATGAAAAAGGAAAAATCACAGTTCTGCAATTAAGTGCTCTTTTAAAGCAAGCCGACTCATCGAAGCGTAAATTAACTTTGACTCGCTTGGCTTCAGCTCCGATTCCATTCACTGTTCTCTCAATGACGGGCAACCAATGGAACGAGGACTTTTTGGCAGTTTGCGGTCTTAAGGACTGCCATGTACTTACGTTTAATAGCACGGGAACTGTTTCTGATCATTTAGTATTACATCCCCATCTTGAGACTGGCAATTTCATCATTAAAGCGATCTGGCTTCCAGGTTCTCAAACTCAGTTGGCTCTTGTTACAGCTGACTTTGTTAAGATTTATGATTTAAGTAAGGATGCCCTGTGTCCTCAGTACTATTTCCTCGTACCAACTGGAAAAATACGCGATTGTACTTTTATACACACGGAAAGCAATGAATTTCATATGCTATTGATGTCATCTGCTGGTTATATATATTGTCAGGCTATGGATGAAGAGAGTTTAGCAAAGCATGGACCTTTCTTTGTCACCCATACTCTCATTGTCTATCACTCCGATATCAAGGATAATGGACAAGTATGTGGCGGCGGAGTTTCCATTTATTACTCACATGCATTGCAGCTGCTTTTCTTTAGTTATGGCAGTGGCAAAAGTTTTGTTGCACCTATGAAGTATGTTGATGACATCGATCATGTTAATATGATTAACATTTCTAATAAGGCGAACGGTAGTGGAGGTATTACTTTTTATTAAATCGGCTTATACTTTATATTATATCAAAAAGATATTAAAATTATTGTGTGCTTGGATTATTTTTTTCTAGGTAGTGGCAGTGGCAATAAGTCAAACAATAATCAGCCTCAGCCATTGTGTCAGTGGAGCGAAGTAGCCAATCATCCGGGTCTCGTTTGTTCGGTTCTTCAGACCAGCAATAATCCTGTTATTTTCATGATCAAGCCAGATACGATAATGATTCAGGAGATTAAAGTTGTGCCAGCCAAAGCTAAAATTATGGATATGGTAGCAATTCGACATCCAAGTTCAAACGCGGAACACCGTACAACTTTAATTCTTTTATGTGAAGATGGCAGTCTTAGAATCTATATGGCTGCTATGGAACAAACTGGATTTTGGATGTCATCGAGCGTACAGCCGGTAGGATTGATTTCAAACTTGAAACAGACAAAGAAAAAGAAGACTCTGAAATCGAATAAACCCACGGCTTCCGTTAATTTCCCAATTGATTTCTTCGAGCAATGCCAGGTGATGAACGATGTTGAATTCGGTGGCAATGATTTACTGCAAGTTTACAATGTTCTGCAAATTAAACATAGATTGAACACTACTGGTATGTATGTTGTTTCAACAAAACCTAGGGGATTTACTGTAGAAGTTACAAATAACGACCCCATTTTGGTTATGACGGGAATTCGAGTTCAACTGGGAACTCAAGATATACAACGAGCCCCATTATATATAAAGGTATAGATAACACAATTTCTTAATTTAAAATTTTTATACTATAAGATTTTTGAATTTTTAAATTTAATATCTGAATTATTAAATTCGTATTTGGATAAAATGAAAATTTTTTTTTTTTATATAACTATCTCTAAAAATATTAAATTAAATTAAAAAAAATTATGAAAAAAATTAGCTGATAACAAGTAGTTTTAAAATTAATCAATAAGATTTATTATATAAATTTTCATTTGATTTTTTTTTATGAAGTATGGTAATGAGAACTAAATTGAAATTAAAAGAAAATGAAAAAAAAAGTAAAGTTTAATGAAATAATTAATAAAATTTATGCTTTGATTTACACGTTTATTACAACTAAATTAAATATGTTTCAATTATATTGTTTAATTTAGGTATTTGGAAGAAGTATTGTTAGAGCAACATTGACACGAAGTCGGTGGTTTGATATACCATTAACAAGAGAAGAAAGTCTTCAGGCAGATAAGAAACTTATAATCACATTCGGTTCCTCTCATGATCCAGAAGATGTTACAATGGTTGATTCTATCAAAATGTAAATTATACTATTTTCAGCATTAATTAATTATTCTATGACAAAATGTGAATTCAATATATAACTATTAGTCAATTAGTTAATAAATCTTCTTATGGAGAGTAATTTTTATTATCAAAATTTTATTAAAGTTAAGAATACTAATTAAAAATATTTTAAATAATAATTTCATTAGAATTTCATCGATTTTAACAATTTAATTTTTAATATATTCATTTTTTATATTATTTTAAATTTTAATTTAATTTATATTTTTTTATTTTAAGCAAGACAAATATTGAAAATAAAATTTCATTTAGTCTAAGTATAAAATTACATACAATTCTATAAAACTTTTACATTTTTAATAATTGATATTTATTAATGTTTTTCTTATTTAAATATATAATTGTTTGAATTTCTTATTCAAGATATGGAAAAAGTAAAGATGCTTTTGGATGGCCGGACGAGTCGGAAGATATTCCTGGAGGGCAATCAGCGCCTGCACAGGTCACAACAGGAGCTATTGCAAATACTAATTCAGATAATCCAACGGTTTCACCAACATCGTTAACTGCTATAGATAAGTAAGAAAACTTTTTATTCTCTGTTATTATATAGATATTCATTATAGCATAATCTGAGTCTTATAACAAAGTAAAATTATATACCATTTATATAAATATATTGTGTGTGTGTGTGCATATATATATAATATGCTTCTAATATTTATTATTCTTAATTATTATAATCCAATCAGACCAACAAAGGATGAATCAATTAATGTTGAGAGGTAAGACACGAAGTCGGTATTATAGAATAGCAATGTATGTTTGTAGTATTGTTATTGTATAATTTTTTAAATTTTTATTTGTCTTTTATTAAATGTTTATAATTTACATGTTTATAACTAAAGAAATTATTTTTGGACGATTAATCATATAAATATTGATTATTAATTTATTTTAGAATGGTTTCAAGTATACTCGAAGTTTTGGAGTCGTCATTCACATTGTCTACTGATGAGACTAAAGCAACATTAAAACAAACAGCAGTTGAAGTTGCTTCTAATTTATTGACTTTACCAACACCTCCATCTGTGCAAATTCATACTACTGCACTCCTTGCAGCTCTACATAATTCAAAATCTAATTATCACTCGCACAAGGTTGAATATCTCCAATTTTTGTTTTAAATTTTATTAATACATTAGTTATTTATATTATTTTTGTCTTTGCTTTTTAGGATCAAGTCTTGTTAACTCATGTTCTTGATTCATTGAAAGCAATGCGCGAGACTGAAGACCCTTGTGATATTGATGCTGAAAACTTTTATCGATTAATTTTAATTGTAAGAAGTGTAGCAGTTACTCGTCCACAAAATTTGTATAAATTTGCTGAACAGAATTCAGTAAAAGCAATTGATGAGAATTCAAGTAAGTTAAAAGTTATAAATAAATATGTTTGAAATTTTTTTCTCGCTATTAACTATAAATATTTTTCGTATAGTTTTCATTTTCGAACAAGATAGATTGGCATCTCAAGTAACAAATGAAGAAAATAATAATCTGCACTTAATGCTCCAGTTGATGAACGTCTTATGGTTGCTACATGCTGCTTATCCAAAAAATTTAGCACTAGTGCCAGTAGTGGTCCCTGGGCTTACCCATACAGAGGCTATTATTCATGCCATTATTGAGATAATTCATGCTTTCACAATATGTGATATGGATGGTTTCACTCCAGTAGCAGCAAAACTTTATTTACAACTTTTACTTAGTTCTGACACAACTATTAGCTTTAACGCGAAACAAGCCATAATAAAAGTACTACGACCACGATACAAACGACGTAGAGTTTATATACCAAGTCCTCCACATTATTCCAATTCGAGTAAGTAACAAACAAATAACATTGTCAAGCCTTTCAAAATAATTGAAATTCAATTTATTAATACTAAAATGAATTATAATAAATTAAATTATATAGGAATAAAATGGAAAGTCGATATCAGTTTTTTTTTATTATTATTGTAACTAAACAAATAATAATTTTCTTTATTATTTTGTTAGATATGACAGTAAAAACTGAGGACAAGCCTTTGGCAGTGATACCACAGTCACAACCACTAGAACCACCTGAGGTTGATGAGCAGTTCGACGTCGATAATGTCGTACCAATGGTGTTATTGGGTGCAGAAGGTGGTAATCAAGCGGTTAACGCGGCAGCACGAGCGGTTAATCCTTTAGAAGCTCTTCTTGGTCCAGGTGGCTTTCCACAGCTTCTTGATATTCCTCAGGCTGAGGACGACGAGGCCATGGTTGAATTCGCTATTGCGCTTAGTATGCAGGATACAGAAGCTGGCGGACAGATAGAGGTCCTACAGCAAGGGTTTCAGCAGGGATTAGCAAATCTTCAAGCTCTTGAAGCATTAGGAAATCTTAGTGGACAAGCATTGCAAAGACTACAGGATCTTGCTCAAGGACTCGCTCAGGTGCAGGGTTCTGCTCAGGTATATTTTATGATCCACAAAAAGAGATAATAAAAATGCATAATTTAAAATTAAAGCTCCATTAAAAGTTATTTTAAAGGTTTTAAATTACATTAGAATCAAATAAAATTTTGATTTTTCGAATTCGTTTTGATTAACGAAGTATATTTGTACCTATATTGCTAATTAATTAGTCTTATGGTCTTTGGGTTTGCTGTAACATTGAATATTAATTTGTAATCATTGATATACTAGGGACAAGAGGCAGGCCATTATTCTGATACTACTGCTTCAGCTGGAGGTTCGGATGATGAAGGATCAACAGCAGCGACCGATGGCAGTACATTAAGAACATCACCAGCTGAGCAAGTATGTCCAGATTTAAAGTTTTCAATATAATTATTTTCGTTTAGTGGATCAATGAATACATTTGATTTAAATAAATATTGATTATTAACCGGAAATCATAGAATTTTATAATTTTAAAAAATATATTAATTATAATTTAATGTTATTGTCAAATGAAAAGAAGTTTCAACAAAAAATATTGATGACCTTATAAGAAACTGTTTAGTGAAAGGTGCCTCAAAATTATCAATTAATTAAGATTCTGCATGATATCGTCTATTAGAACTTATACTGAAATTAACTTTTATGCTAATTAGGGTGGCAGTGGTGGTAGCAAAGGAAGCGAAAGTGGTGGTAGCGAAAGTGGCGGCAGTGCAGTCGACAGCATAATGGGCGAGCAGAACGTATCTGGTCGCAGTTCGGCATATGGAGATGGTCAAGTCGACGGCTTATCAGCAAGCGGCAGCCGAACTAATCAGCAGGCACGATCTGAAAATAGCTCTCTTAGTGCACCCGTAAATTTCGTTGTAGGTATAAGTTTAATTTTCTTGCCTGCAATAAGTCGCTTTTGCAGTGTAGTTACGCTACCTCCTACATTCAAAAATGAATTATTAATGTGTTCATATGTTGAGCTAAGTTTATGATTTTTGTATTTAAAATTGTAATTCTATACGAAGAGTTTTGTACATTCCTTCTGTAAAATTAATATAAGTTATATTACAATTATTCACTTTTATTTTTATGAATAAGATGCGATGAAATAAAATTTTAGGCTCCAGAACAAGAAGTTAATACTGAGCAAGAGCAAGGGGAAGAGCAAGAGAACGATATTCCTGGAGAAGTAACAACCAATCTACACGATGTGCGACTTCTGCTATTAGATAGATTAATGCAATTCATACCCAATTTATCGAATGTTCCGGGTGTTCGAGCGATTCCTTTTATGCAGGTGACAAAAATATGCTTATTTTATTTAAAATTTTTTCAAAAAAAAAATTTGCATGTAAATTATTGCTCATGTAGGTTATCCTTATGCTAACCTCTGATCTCGATGGCCAAGATGAAAGGGATAGGACTTGTTTCGCAAATTTATTGAATTTATTCGTGAAAGAACTTAATATGGAGAAACCTGATATAAATGAAATATGCTGTAGAACAAATAAGAGGGAAGTGCATCTTGTTATTATGAGATTATTAAGTGAGTTATTATTCAGTGAATTTATTGTATAGAGAAATTGTTGATTGTTTTATTTTAAATTAAATTACTATGAATTATAACTAATTGGGGCTTTTTATATTTTTTTATCTGCGTCTTTTTATATTTTAAGGTGTATTGATGTCTCGATCTAAATATAATACAAAGAGTCAATCTGAAAGTTCTAATTTCACATCTCAAATGATAGCAATTATATTGAGCAAATCTGGCGTCATTGATTACTGTTTAAGCTTATTGAAAGCGTTACTCGAATATTGGAAAACGTAAGGAATAAGAAAATTAGATAATATAAACTTTGATGTCATTGTATCAACGAGATATTTATTAATACAAATATTTCATTTTACTGCAGTGTTTCTACGGATGAATCAGGAAATATTATTGGTGGACAATTATTAAAGGAACATCTTATAACATCGCCACCTGACATGTCACCATTCTTCTTACGCTTATATGTAAAAGGCCATGCTAACGATGTTTTCGAACCTTATCCTCAATTGCTAACAGAAATGGCCTTAAGATTGCCATATCAAGTACATAAATATGCAGAGGCTAATACAGTTCAGCCAGCATTTGATAAGGTATTAAATAATGTAAAATATTCAACTTGTCTTATAATGTACAAATACAAATTAATTAATTACAAGAAAACATAAAATAGTGTTATGATTAAAATTAAGAATTTAAAATTATTAAATTAATAAAAAATTTAACGATAATTATTATATTAATCTTCAACAACCTCATGTTTTCAATAGGATTATGATTATTGTTTTGACATTACGTTTTTCAGCAATCATGGTACTTTTATCTTTGTGAGTATATGATGTCTTATCAAACACCATTTGTACGTCGTCAAGTTCGAAAGCTGTTGTTATTCATATGTGGTAATAAAGAAAAATATAGGCAACTCCGTGATCTTCATGCTTTAGTTTCTCATGTAAAAGTATGTTCAGCTTGATGTAGTTTAAATATTTATTTGCGAAGAATATGTAAGCATTTTTTTCATAAATAACAATGTTTCAGTCTGTTCAACAATGCTGTAATAGCGGAGGATATGATGTTCTCGAGCCCATACCTCATTCAATAAATTTACCATATGATTCTTTAGTCGAATTAATAGAACATTTGAAATGTTGTGTTGAAATAGCCACTAGTCGAACGGGTAATTGGCAACGATTCTGTTTGAAGCATAATACAGTATTATCTTATTTATTTACAATATCGACGCTTTTGGACGAAGGAGTTAGTCCAACTGTTTTACAATTGCTTCAGTGTGCCATTTGTTCTTCATCAAAGACAAAAGATGTAAAAAGCAAAGTAAGTTATTTACAATTATTTAAATATAACATATAATGTAAAATAACATTAAATGTCACCTATGTATATTGTTGGTGAAAAAAAAACATTTATTTTTAAAAGAATTTTCATATACAAAGTTTAACAGTTTTTAAAAAAATAATTTTTAGGATTTAAAATCAGCAATCAATACTAAAGAGAGGCGAGATCGTGACAAATCTGAAGATTCTGATAGCGAAGCTAAATTTGAAGAAACTCAGTGTATTATTTTAGTTGAACAGATCCAGAAGCAAGTTTCTCCTGCTTTACTCACCAAATTTATACAGACTTTCCTTTTAGAAACAAATAATACAAATATTCGTTGGCAAGCCCATTCTTTAATTCTTGCTTTTTACAAGTGAGTATCTCAGCTTTGAATGTACAGAAAATGATAAAATAAATAATTTTAATAAACAAAATGTATTACAAAAAGTATTTAAATTAAATTAAAAATAAATCTTTAATCCTAAAGAAATGTTGTTTTTACATATACAAAATATAATAATGATTTTTTAAACTAAATCTATATATAAAATTCTATATTATTCATTGCTTGAAGATTTAAAATATAACGTATAAATTATTAAGATATTTTTATTTTTGTGTTAACATGTATTATTCTTTAAATCAATTTTTAAAAAATTTTCAATCTAATCCATTATTCAAAGTATATATATATATAATAATAACAATAATAATAATAATAATAATTGTTATTATATTTCAGAAACTCTATTGCTACCGATCAAGAGGCTCTTCTAGATCACTTATGGCGTCTTTGGGCACTTTTACCAATTTATGGACGTAAAGCTGCTCAATTTGTTGACCTAATCGGTTACTTTTCTCTTCGAACACCTCATAATGGCAAGAAAATGTATTCGTACATGGAACAAGCAGTTACCGTGCTCCATACTCAAAACCAATTACTTGCTCGACATCCCAATGCTAACCTTTATGCCAATTTAGCTCAATTCGTTGAGCTTGATGGTTACTATCTAGAAAGCGAGGTACTTTTCATAACTCAAAATAAAATCTATAAAAATAAAAAAATAACAGTTTTTTTTTTTAAATATATATTTTATATATACATATATATTAAAAATTAAATTCTTCACTCCTATTTAAATTATTTTGATTATAAAGCTAATATAATGAAAAATTAAATTATATAAATAGAAGATAAGTTACATAAATATTTTTGTTAGCCCTGCCTTGTTTGCAACAATCCAGAAGTTCCAATGACCACGATAAAGCTTTCATCTATCAAAATTGATTCCAAGTTCACGACGACCACGCAAATCATCAAATTAGTTGGTAGTCATACCATCAGTCGCATAACCCTTCGTATCGGTGATTTAAAACGGACGAAAATGGTTCGCTCCATTAATGTTTTCTACAATAACAGAACGGTTTGTCAATTTTAATATTAAAAAATACTTTGTATTATATCTATCGTTATTCAATCAAAAGAAGTGCATTTGTATATTAAGTAATACACACGTTTATACATGCGCATGTACGTATGCACGCACGTAGTTTAAAGTTACTTTATATAAAGATCGAAGATTTAATTCTAACTGGAAAAATATGTAATTATAGGTTCAGGCTGTTGTCGAATTGAAAAACAAGCCCGCCATGTGGCATAAGGCAAAAAAAATAAGTCTTGTTCAAGGTCAGACTGAAGTGAAAATGGAATTTCCTTTACCTATCGTTGCGTGCAATCTGATGATAGAGTATGCCGATTTTTATGAGAATATTCAGGCGTCTTCGGAAACCCTCCAATGTCCACGTTGCTCAGCGAGTGTTCCAGCTAATCCTGGCGTATGCGCCAATTGTGGCGAGAATGTTTTTCAATGCCATAAGTGTCGAGCCATCAATTACGATGAAAAGGATCCGTTTTTGTGTCATGCCTGCGGTTTCTGCAAATACGCTAAATTTGATTATACATTAACTGGTAGACCTTGTTGTGCCGTGGATCCTATAGAAAGTGACGAGGATCGGAAAAAGACTGTAGTGACAATAAACACATTACTAGAGAAGGCGGATAGAGTCTATAAGACATTGATAGCAAACAAGCCAAGTCTGGAGATGTTGCTAGTAAGTAATTCGTCTCAAAATTATTTATAGCTTATGTGTAAGACATTTCTTATATGAAATGTTCATTTTATTGCAATACAAATGTTCTATTGCGATCAGTCTAAATAAAAAATTTAGATGGTCATTTATTTTAAATCACTCCAATTTTATTATCTATGTACGATTTAACTTTTTAAATTAAGTAATTGTTCTTTTTATTTAAAAAAAAAAAACAATAATTATTTTTATAGTTACGTTGTGATTAATTAGTAAATGTTTTTAACATTACTATAAACATCATATATACTTAAAGATAATCAATAAAGATAAATTGTTACCGATTTAGCTGATATAAAATATGAATATGCAAATTGCAAAAATACATATTAAACGTGATAATTAAGCTTGGTGTAGAATTTTAATAGACAGTTTCTTAATGCTTTATTATGAATTAAAGGTGAAGATATCGGAACATCGACTCGATCGATTACTTGACGATGGTGTAGTGACTCAAACGACAACAGGAGGTAGCGCCCAAGTGAATCGGGCCATACAGCTACTCGCGCAGAAGTACTGCGGCGAATGCAAAACGTCTTTTGAGGAGCTTAGCAAAATCATACAGCGTGTGCTGGCTTGTAGGCGCGAGCTCGTTGCTTACGACAGAAATCAGCGTGATCAGGGGACTTTCCAGTTTCAGCGAACGACCATCGTCACCGAGGGCCCGGAGAAAGACACAAGCTCGACAATCCCGATGGTTGGCAGATGTTACGGATGCGCTTCTTCGGCTACCGAGCACTGTCTCACTCTGCTCAGAGCTCTTGCAACTAATAACGTGGCCAGGGAGGTACTATGTAAGCAAGGACTAATTCAAGAAGTGGTGGAGCACAATCTCAGGAGAGGGACCATCCAGGTACACATAATAAATATTTTAATTAGTTTTCTCTAAATTAGGAGTTCACGTCACTTCTGTACTACAAACATAGAAATCTAGATTTATAAATACGAATTACTATCTAACGATTAAAAGCAACTGTTATCTAAAAAGGTACAAGAAGAGGTGAGACAATTGTTATGTCTTGTTACTCGGGATAACGCACAATCAACGAAGGAGTTATGCTCACTATTAACGAATAGAGTGACTATGACTCTAAGGGGTAGAGTCGTGACATCAGATCTATCCACTGCTGTCAGGTATGAAATGGCTCTATTAGGGGCACTTATACAGAAGGAAGATACGTGTTGGGAGCAGAAATTGAGATGCGTGATGCAGTTGTTCTTGATGGCCTGCAAAGATTCTAAAAGTCCTGTGGTCATGGAGAGTATTATTTTGCCTTGTCTTAAAATACTACAAAGTTTATTAAGACCCGATCAACCAGTTTCAAAAAAGAACAAGGTAACGTACTTCATCTAATTGAAATTATTTTTAAAATTATGAATAATTATTTTATAGACTAGACGTTAACGCTACATTTTCATTATACTTTGTTAATCATTTATTGAAAACGAATGACACAAGTTTGAACCATTAAGGCTTGTAATTGATTTTTTTTTATATATAAAATTTTGATTTATAAAGTTTTAAATAAATTTGTTTTATATGTATAACAAATATATGTATTTTTCAATTTTACGTTACTAATTGAATTTATATAGTTTAAAAAATATTTAATTTAGTAATATTATTAATGTTTGTTTAAAATAGGATAAGACAATTGACTCTTTAGCAACGGTTCAACCTCCTGATGGGGTTAGTATCGATTTGGCAAAGTGGCTTAATGGCGATATTAAAAATTCTTATGCTGAATGGTTGCAAAGAATGCCAAAAAAGAAGTCAGATTCACAACAGAACAAGACTTTGAAAAAGGTAAAAAATCGTATTATCTCTTTATTTACTGTAGTTAATCAAAGTATTGAAAAATTATCAAAACCTTTTTACTTATTTAACAAAGTACTTGCAATACATGGATTATCCAGTTTTATTTTTTGGTAATTTTTTATATTTGAACTACACTTGAAGTTTCGATCATCTGGATCGCGGAGATTTCAGCTTAACATTTTTATTTCTATTTAATATAAAATAAAAGCGATAAATAAATAAACATATAAATAAAAATACAAAAAAACGTTTTTCCTAGGAGGAGGCTAGAATACTCTATTTGAGCGAAAAATATGGACACCGATGGTATTACCGCTGTACCCGCTTACGCGGCACTCAGCCTCTTAAACTCACAAATGGCTCTTGGCTTAAGGAGGTGATTTTTAATCCAAGTTCACGACTCGCTCGGCAAGTCGTCTGCAATATGGTAGAGAATTTGTGTCAAGGCACCGATCGTAAAAAAGAAGTCCTACTTCTTCTTACGGGGTACCTAGACGAATTGTGTATCGCTGGGGAAAGCAGTGCCGAATATCTTTCTCTTTATGAAAGCCTTATCAGGCAAGGCCCTTGGAAGCAGTTCTTAGCAGTTAGGGGCGTTCTAAATATATTGGCTGATTTGTTGACAAGAGAGATTGCTGAGCTACACAGATTAGAAGAGACAACCCTGACGAGTGATCTTGCTCAGGGATATGCATTAAAAATGTTAACAGAGTTATTGGCATTCTTTCTTGAGCAGGAGAATATTAAGCAACATTATAAAGGTAGACTAGTCGGAGCAGTACTCAATGGGTATTTGTCACTAAGGAGACTTGTTGTGCAGCGAACAAGACTAATCGACGATACCCAAGATACTCTACTCGAGCTATTGGAAGAGATGACTACAGGTAAGGTCTTAATGATTTTGTAATACGAAATTTCTATTGCATTAAATGCTTTTTATATAATGTGTAGTTTTGTGACAGTTTTTCATTAAATTTTGTAAGTCTTACCTTTTTGGCTAAATTTTTATATTTATGAAGTGCAAAAAGGCAAGTTATCTACGAATTATGCAATGTCAATTTAATACATACGATTTTTTATCTTTTTAATAGGGACACAGGAGGAGACCAAAGCATTTATGGCAGTTTGTGTTGAAACAGTGCAAAAATATAGTCCTCAGGATATACGCACACCTGTATTTATCTTTGAAAGGCTTTGCTCAATTATATATCCTGAGGAAAACGACGTAGGAGAATTCTTTTTAACTTTAGAAAAAGATCCGCAACAGGAAGACTTTTTACAAGGACGTATGTTAGGAAATCCATACAGCAGTTTACAGCCTGGCTTAGGTCCATTGATGCGTGATGTCAAAAACAAAATTTGTCAAGATTGTGAGTTAGTTGCATTGTTGGAAGATGACAATGGAATGGAGTTACTTGTTAATAATAAAATTATCAGCTTAGATCTTCCTGTTAAAGAGGTACAGCTTACTTTTGTTCATAGTAATATTACATTATCATGATTAGCACTATACATATATTAAACTAAATGAATAAAAAAAAAAAAAAAAAAAAAAAAAAAAAAAAAAAAAAAACGAACTAGAAAAATAAAAATAATAAAACGATAAAATGATTATAAGTTACTTAATTAAAAGCATATATTATTTTTTGTAGGTATATAAAAAAATTTGGGTACTTGAAGGTGGTGAGTGTGATGCGATGCGTGTTGTGTATAGAATGCGTGGTCTTTTGGGTGATGCTACCGAAGAATTCGTTGAAACTTTGAACGTCAATAGCGAGCAAGAAGTAAATAACGAAGAAATGTATAAAATGGCAAATGTTTTAGCAGACTGCGGTGGTCTCCAAGTGATGCTCGAGCGTTTAGCTGCAATACAGGATGTAAACAGGGCTAAACCTTTATTGCAAGTGTTATTGAAACTCTTTAGGCTTTCCGTTAAAGTGAAAAAGAATCAGGAAGTCTTAAGTCAACCTGAATTAGGAGCTGTTACGGTTTTGCTTGACGTTCTGCAACGTTGTCTTGATACCGAGACAGACAATTCTCAATCAAAAGTTACAGAACAATTACTCGATGTGAGTTCCAATATTTATGCGTATCTCGTATAATTATGAAAAATAGTATATTTTATTAAACAAAAAAAAAACAAAAACAAAAAAAAACAAAAAAAAAGACAAAATTTTTTTAATTATAATCGATAAATTTTTATTTTCTATATATATATATATATATATATATATATATATATGTATGTATTTGTATATGTTTATTTCTTATGTATGCGATAAGGTCTATTGTGCATCTTTCAAAATGTTACAATTTTCAATTATTTTACAATAGAAATAGTATTATATACAAAATAACGATTGAAAATTTATGCAGGTTTATAACGCCTTTATTTTTGAAGTATTAACTCACGATATTACAGTATTACTTAATGTATAGCACACACACACACACACACACACACACACACACACACACACACACACACACACACACACACACACATATATATATATCAAGAGTAATAGTTGATCATCAGATCTGTTAATGATAATCGAACGAAATCTTATAATAAAATTTACTATCTGTTTTATAATGTTTAGATTATGGAAACTATATTGGCGAATGCAGCGTCTCAGCCGTTGGACAAGTTCGAAGAGTTCTCTCGTACTTTGGGCAGTCCGGAGCATGTAAAAGCTCTCCTCTCGTGCACACAGTCATCCGCTGTCAGGTGTAGTACCAACGTATTGCAACATCTCGCAAGGGTTCTCGCAGCTTTAACTTACGGCAATCAAGAGAAGATGGAATTGCTTTGCGACCACTTCAAGCCCGTCTTAAATTTTTACAAATTTGATTTCGAGCATACGTCAGAAGATGAGCAGAAGCTCGAGCTCTTTTGCGTACTGACTCAAGGTATTGAAAGAAATGCCATAGGAAATACCTTGAAAGATCATATTATTAATATGAATATCGTAAAAGATGCCTTCGAATACATAACGGTAAGCGAGGCATACATGCGAGTGATAAATACGAGCAGAAGATCTATTCATAAACCAGTCATTTATGCATTCATTGCGTTAACAGGTACACGCTCCTTGTGTTAAGCCAACTCTTCTCAGAACGGATAGTGACGAGCTTAAAGAATTTATATCTAAACCGGCATTGAAATATATCTTGCGCTTCCTCACTGGTTTAGCAACTGATCATGAGCCTACACAGGTAAGTCGTAGGAATAAGATGAGTTGGTGGAGCTACAAGTTGAAAATTTTCAATTATCAATCATGAATCATCAACATTCATTAATGTTTTCGTTATTCTTTTAGCTTGCAGCGTCGCAGTTCACAATTAGTATAATTCATAGATTGGAACAGGTCTCGTCTAACGAGCATGTAGGTTCACTGGCTGAGAATTTGTTGGAGGCTCTGTGCACAAATAAAAAGGTTGCTGAGCTGATCGAGGAGGCGCGCCAGCATACGCGCAGCGAGAAAAAGCGTTTGGCAATGGCTATGCGCGAGCGGCAACTCGGTGCATTGGGTATGCGAACGAACGACAAAGGCCAGGTTACGGCGAGTGGCACGATTCTTCAGCAGATGGAGGACCTCGGCGACGAGACCGGTCTCGTTTGCGTCATCTGTCGAGAGGGTTACAAATTCAAACCAAATATGGTGAGCGCGTTCGAGATTTTTCCTCAAAACGATAAGCAAATAAATTTTAGAAGAATGACGGTGTAATTAATTAGCCTAGTGAAGTTAGCCAAGCATATGCAAAGCCGATTTATTTTTCATTTATTATTGCACCAACTTTAAAAAAGAAATTAGTCCGTCGTATTCGCAATTAAAAATCGTTCGTTTTTTCTAATAAAATTCAATATAATTTTTAAGGTTCTCGGCATCTATACATTCACAAAGCGTTGCAACGTGGAGGAGTTTGAGTCGAAGCAGCGCAAGACTGTGGGTTACACGACCGTTTCACATTTCAATGTTGTTCACGTTGACTGCCATATGTCGGCGGTACGATTAGCGCGAGCGCGCGACGAATGGGAAAGCGCCGCCCTGCAAAATGCAAATACAAAGTGCAATGGATTATTACCGCTGTGGGGACCGCAGGTTCCAGAATCAGCGTTTGCCAGCTGCCTTGCAAGGCACAATACGTATCTGCAAGAGTGTACGGGTCATCGAGACATTTCATATTCATCAACGGTACACGATTTAAAGTTGTTGCTCCTTCGTTTCGCCCAGGAGAAGAGTTTTCACGATGATACGGGTGGTGGCGGCCCTCAGTCCAATATACACATTATACCTTACCTCATACATATGGCGCTCTACGTTATTAATACGTGAGTTTTTCCAAATAATATTATGTCAGTCGTTTTTTCAGCCTCGGGTTAAGTAATTATAAAATCATAATTATAATGAGTTTTTGAGTGGTGATAATTAAAATTTTTTATTTTTTTTTCCCATGGCGAATTATTTCTATGTATTTTATGTAACGTTTCAGCACGAGATCAGCATCGAGAGAGGACAAAGCTCTTGTCGCCTACCTCGAATCAACTCCCACTTCTTCTTGGCTAGATAATTGTTATGACGCTGAGGGCCCGATTTATCAGTGCACCTTGTCCATTTTGATTATGACGCCAACTCGCTGGAATCAGACGAAACTCACGCAACTGCGAAGGTTGATCATTCTCGCGCATCAGAGATATGTTTCACCTTCAGCGACGACCAAATCTCTCACTGATACTACCGTCAAAGATTATTCGGTTTATAAGAGCGTTCTGATATTTTTCAATATTGTTCAGTGTATTTATGGAGTCTTTTTTAAGGTAAGGATAACATATTTTAATAAGATACTAACTAATCATTTCTATATCAATAATAATCATTGCTTATTGAATTTGTTATAAATGCGATATACATATATATATATATATATATATATATATATATATATATATAATTTTAATAAATTTTAGTAATTTGTAAATATTAGTTAATGTTTATTAAGAAAATTTATTATTTTTTTAATTATTTATTTATTTATTTTTTATATCATTATAAAATTTGAAATTCTTTAAGTTTTACGAAAAAATAACTTAACTAATTTAAATACTTTCCATAATGTTTGGATATTTGTCGCCCTAATGGCATATTGTGGCAAACAAAGTCTATAATCTATAATCTATATATTTATAGAAAGTTAATGTTCTGAGCGATGACCAATGGCCAGCCGTTTTAGCGGAATATATTAGACATAACGATGAGGCTTTACTCAAAGCTTCCGAGAAAATTCTCGCAGCTTATCGCGATGAGTTTTTGCCTTGTGCAAGTTTTGAAGAATTTTGCGATGTTGCAGGTTTGTAATAAAGTGTTTCCGTCATGTGTAATTGTGTTAAAAATATTTATACATTCTTTATTTTACAGGATTACTTGATGAAATTTCTAACCCTTCAACATTTATAAGCGATCTTTTACAAAGTCTCGCCTAGCCGAAAGTTTCTTATAATTTTGAGTCTGTGAAAGAAAAAACAAATTAACACAAGTGTACTTTTTTTTTTTTTTACCAATTTGCTTGCTTTTATTTATGTGATAACAACCAAACATACCGCATGTCCTTAAGTGACGTGGGTAGCTATAAATGTTTAACGTATTTGAAAAAGATATTCATTATTTTATAATCTTACATAAATTATAGTAATATGGTTTTCGTTATAAATTAAGTGTATTACCTCGCGTTTTCGTTTCATTTATGCGCTTATATAATTAAATAAACCCTGTAATATTACAAATTATAATTTGAATTAAATACAAGAAATATTATAAAAAAAAAATTCTATACTTTTCATTACATTATATATGTTTTATACAAATTCTATTATTTGTATTAACATTTTAATTTATATTATAAGTAATAACACAAAGAGTATTTAATGCTTTGGCGCCGTATAAACATTTCCTAAGGCAAGCATACATTGCCTAATTCCTTGTTGACAAATATGGTAGTCTTTCATTGGAAGAGCCAACGTCTCATCCAGAATGTTTAAGATTTTTAAATACTGATTCAGAGCATCTTTATGATTACCAGATTTGATATTATTTGTTGCCATTTTATACAGCATGTCTGTATCTTGAAGGGCTTTGAGACCTTTAATAATATTTGTATTTCGTCCACATTTCGAACAAGGAATTATAAATGTTTCTGAATCCATATTTATTGATAAAATGTTTGCGCAAGATGAACCTGTAGAACATTTAAACCTGATAAAAAGAAATAATTTATTTCCAATTAGCTATTTTAAGGTAATACAGGCATATCTTATCTTTCTAAAATTTCTTAATATAATAATATTTGCATCTAAAAAAAAAAAGAAAAAAAAAAGATTTTTACTCTTATGTATTGATATTCAAATGTATACCTTAAAATATTTGAATCAATATTTTTTAAAAGAGGCCAGTGATCTTTGCATGCTTCACAATCACAATCAAACCAGTACTGCATACGTAGTACTCTCTTTCTTTCATCTTCTTCAACTTCAGTAAATATTGGACCGTAATTTTCCGAAATTTCATTACCAGTCGGTATTGATCTTATAGCTCGGACGATTATTGTGTTACCAACGAAATATCTGTTGATTATTTTTTATTTTATTCATGCAACTATAATATAGTAATATTACTCGTGCATTTATTAATGTACCTTACAACACCAGGATTACAAGCATGATTAAAAAGCGCTACGGTGGGGTAAACTCCACCACCAATAAATAAGTTTATTCCTTTTGATAAGTCGGCGTTTCGTTCACTTCTGACGAATGCTGATATCTACGTTTAAAAAAAAAAAATGTTCAAATAGAATGTCGCAGTATTATTACCGATATTGCTTAGATGATAAATATTAAGTATAATATTTAGGAAAACTTGTAAATTATGTCATGTTGTCTTCTTAGCTTATAGATTCAGTTAAAAATTATATTCGTATTGACGGATAAGCAAAATTTATGAAAAATTAGTATATTTTTTTTAGATTATGGTATTAATATTATTTGAAATAATTTTTCTAAATAAAATGTACGTACAATGCTTTTTCTCTTTTTTTCTTTTTTCTCTCTAATATTAAGAATACTTAATACGAATTTACTCAATGTATTTTTATGGAGAAACCATACCTCGTGAGAGTTAAATTGAAGTAATTGAAGATGATGCAGAATAGCATCTGCCACGGCTAATTCACCTTCCGAAAGTTCTACTTCTGCACTATCTGTTTTATTTGCAGTTAGTGGAAAATAAGACGATGTTTTTAAAACTCTAAGCAACCAAGCAGCTATGTAAGCTCTGTGAAATAAGTCTTCGGTAGTTCGCTTATCTTCATGACTGACTTTAAAAATGAAAAAAATTAAGTTAACCGCTTAGTTGAATAATTGCATATCATTCTGAAGTTCTCGAATCTAACTGATATAAGATAAACTAAAGTTTATGAATTTTTGCAGCTAAGTTCTAATTAAAGTTATAGAAAGCTTATGTTAAGTTCTTTATTTTTATTTTAATGCTATAAAAGCGTGTTGTTTTTTTTTTTTTTTTTTTTTTTTTTTTTAACAAATTTGTTTATTATTTTCAATAACATGATAATTTAATAGTCATTTTATGAATATAAAGAAAAGTATTAATAATCTGTGCTATTAAAAGGAGATAAATTATGCGAAATTATTAATTACAATTGAAAAATTTCTTATGAATAATCACGATTTCATATCTTTTAATATTAAGAAACATTTTTTACGAAATTATATTGTAAGATGAAGAGATTTGGTTTAATAAGTAAGCGATTGTATTGAGCATTAATTAAATCAAGATAAACGCTTAAGAAATGGTTACTTGGCAATGGCATTCGTATGATCGTACCTAGATTGTAGAATGCTTTATAATCCTTGCTAAGATAAGGTTTAGCTTTAGAAATCTGTAATTCATCAGTTTTATCCCTAATCTTATGATGAATTTTAATAAATTCTGTGAAGGGTTTTTGAATGACAGCGCGTATCGCCAAGATGCAAGTGATCGATGCATGTGAGCACCAGAGAGCTCCAAGCAGCTGACATTCGACATTGTGGATCATTTTATCGAGATTTTGGCATTTAGGGCTGCAGTAGGCAACCGAGCTGCAGGTATAGCAGCTGGCCGGGAAGGGTGCGACATTCCGAATTAAACATCTGTGACAATGTTTTCCGCTACGAACACATGTAAATATTATTTACTCTCTGCTTACGCAATGTCGACAAATTAGACACTGCAGTTCAAGTGTTTTTTTTTTCTTTTTGTTTGCAATAATAATTATAATAATTGTATAAAATTACTCGAGTGGCGCTTGAATATGTGTTTTGTCGCAAACTAGAATCATTGTACATTTAATACGTTCGATTGAAAAAGTTATTTGATTTTCGAAATTTGATAGTCAGATACGTACCGATATTCTTCTAAAAGTGAGGAACAATGTGGCCTTTCTACGACCAAAACATCGCCTGGCTCAATATCCTTTACCGCCACGGCGTACCTTCCAACATCATCGTATGATTGTCTAATTTCTATAGAAGCACTACACGATGGGTATATGGGATTACGTACTTTGATACTTGGTATTTTATCCTCACTTTTTAACCTGAGGATGATGCAAAAGTCAAGAGTTACTATTGATTTTGATCGCGTATTCGCCTTAATTCCGGCAATGAGATAACATCAATTCGAACCAAATCATTTTCAATGAATGTAACATTTACTTGTAACCATCACGTGCAACTAATTAATTAGCTCATTACGCAAAGCCGTCATTAAATAGGTAGAGTTTATTAAAAGTATTGGTAGACAATAATTGAACGAGATAAAAGAGACTAGTGACCTGCTGTTCTCGATCTCGATTATGTTTGCGTCAGTGAGACCCTGCTGTGCCTCCTTCAATTGTTGCCGACCCTTTTCCATAACCCCCAACATTATTCGTATATCCGTCTCGTGCTTCTTTTTCTTTATATCCGTAATTTGAGCGTCATCGAGATATAGCAGTGCATTTTTAAATGCATTCATAGCATTCGCGTGACATTTAAGTCCCAAGAAACATCTTGCGCGACGTTCTTCCAATTTGTATCGCAAGTGTTTCGGGTAGCCGACCATTAGCGCCTCATTGCAATCGCCAAGGGCGAGTTCGAATTTATCCAAGTGATAAAATGCTGCCGAACGGTTTGCCAGGATCACTCCTAATTCTGCGAGTTCAATTGAACAATGAATTATATGTCGGCTTCGAGTATACGAGTACTGTTGAAATATTTTCATGATATAGATAATAATTCGTATTATATAAAGTCAAGATCGCAAATAATTAGATTAAATCGTGTAAAGCAACATCTACTCGTCTCAATAGATCGCGAGTAATTTTACATAAATTTTACATCATTATGATTACTTATGTAAAAACATTTAATTGATTAATGATTAATTTATGTAAAAAGATCGAGCTGAGAAGCTGAACGTATAGAAAATGATGGAAAATTATATATCAACGAATAAGGAAACTCACTTTCTTTCGGTGCAGCGAGAATAGCATTATTGTACTCCTCTATTGCAACCTCATAGTGACCTAAGCCGAAGGCCCTATTTCCAGTATTTTTAATTATATCGGTCTTCGTTTCGTTCTTTTTTTCATAATTTTCCACCTCAACAGGCAGTTCGTGCGCCTCTGCATAATTAAGGATGAAAGCGACTCGTGCGCCATTTGAGCCCAGAGCAGCGAATTTGTTGAAATCCTCATTTGTAACAGCTTTTCTTGTTTTTATTAAATTTTCTCGAAAGAACTCACCCACCTCGAAATCCAGTTCCTCGTCTAGTTTATTGTAATCGTCGTCGAAATCATCATTATAGACGTCGCCAAGCATCTTTTATTGCTTCTATTTTTCGTTTGATCTCCCTCGTTATAAGTTTTCTCGATATTAGTTAATTTATTATTTACGTGCAGAAACCTTTTATATTAGAAACCAAAAATTAGATGTATAGACACATTATAAATCTATCGCCCAATCTATCCCTATAAATAATCTCAAATAAGTTAAATAATGAGAAAATGATGCATTTAATTTAAAAATATATTAATTTCTTATAATAAAATGTGACATTATATTAATAGATAATGTGGCATTACTCTAACTGATGTCCATACATATCATTCAAAATGTTCTAAGGTTTAAGAAAACAAATGCATAAAATAATTTTTAATAATTATATTCATTTATAATGATTAATTTTTACGCAAAATAAAAGTTATACCAAGTAACTAAATATATAAGCTATATCATATACATACCTGAGAATATGAAATTATACACGATCTACGGATTCAATCATTTGCATCAGATAATAATGAGTAATAACTTTGCCTGTTTTTATTATTAATTACATCACTTTGAAATTTGCGACGGTGATCCAACAACTTATAATATTCTTAAATCATCAATCAATCGAACGTTTTAAAATTTAGATAAATAATCGTGTGCAATCAAAAATTTTGATTAACCGGAGGTGAAAATATACTGTATCATTTTATTTTAAAGTAAATAAGAATTTTTATTGCTTCTTTAAAAGTAATGATATTATGCTGCACTGATCTCCTTTATGGAACTTTTGCTTTGGTAATGATTGCATACTCACTTGCATCTGCAACTATAAGAGCCATGTCAGGCTATTTTAGAAGGTTCTATTTCAGCTCTCTTTCTTACACACATGTAGTTTAATTTCCGGTACGTTTCTCAAATACTTTAATTTTTATGAAATTGGTGTTTTATTTAATGTTAAATATGTATTAGTGGACGTTGAATTTTTTTATTTTACATGAATGTTTTTATCTATTTATTAAAATTGGCATTAAATGTGCTGAATATTCAAACGAATATTACTAATAAGACAAGTGCTTAAAAAATTATTTACACCTCTTTATATTATTTTTTATATATAACATTCATTATTTATTATATCTGTAAGAATATCTATATTACCTATAATCAATATTATCGAATTAATTTCAGAATATTTTATAAAGTATAAACATTATGTAATTTTCTATTTTCTATGTTCTCTTAACTATTTTAAACTTACTTTTAAAAACTTTATCTTAATATTTTATATTTTATGAAAGGCTTATTTTATTCATATACACAGTGATTGGAAACTGTAATTTTTTAAAGAATTTTTTTTTCAAAATAATGGAAGCAAATGAATTTGCAAGATTTACTGTAAAAAGTGTAGAATAAACAAGTGTTTGTTAATTTTTTTTTGTCTGAATTTCATTTTTTATTTTTTATTATTAATATTAAATAATCAAATCATATAGAGTAAATATATTTTGGATAGATTTTTTTAATGTATTACATTTATATATATATATATATATATATGCTACCATTAGTGTATTAATAAACTTATGCTTTCTATTTCAGTAAAGCAGCGTAAAAGATCATAAATCTTTCATCTTTTTATGTAAAAAATTTCATATCATATTATTTATGTATAAATATATATTAAAATAAATAACCCTGTAATTTGCAATTGAATTTTTCTACAACGATTTATCAAAAAGTATTTTCTTACTTACATGCATGTAATTACTACAATAATTATCTAAAGCTAAGAAATTTATAATGTAATCAATTTTTATTTCTACGTTACAGAATAGTTGTAAAAGTGATGTCTTGATGTTATTGTATTTCTAATACATCTTAATAATGTTTGTAGCTATTGAAGTTCTATTATGACATTGCTTATTATTGTTAATTAAAGTAAGCTGAAGGATTATGATTATTATTCTGTTTAAAATCTTTATTAATCATATTCACATTAAGGGCTTATACATTTTTATTGTAATTTGTCTTGTAAGTAACAAATTATAAGGGATTGCTGTTTATTTTTGTAAATAATATAACAATTATGTTTTATTATTTTTCATTTCTTACAATAAATGTCTAATTGTTATTTGAATAAACACACATGAATAAATGCACATACAGCCATAGGAGCATACATACGCGCGCGCGCGCGCGCACACACACACACACGCACGCACGCACACACACAGAGACACATTCATACAGCTAAACATATGCAGCTATATGTGAATACACGCATGCATACTCACACACATTTATATATATATAGTTTCATTTTACATGCACACGTGATGTGTCTATAAATTCTATAAGTTATAATACAAGTTTAAACATTAAAATCTCAAAATTGTTCGTTGAAAGTTTCTCGTTGAAACATTACACCAAAATATTATGTATTTACATAGTAGACTTACTATCAGAATTAATTTACTACAAATACATTTTGATATTCGCAAGGAAAATATTTTTACAATTATATATATATATATATATATATATATATATATATGTGTGTATATAAATATCTATTATTGGAAAATCTAGTAAAAACGATAATAATAAACCAGATTTGTTTTGAAATAGAGATGAAAAATGTTGAAGAAATTTTAAGTACTAAGCTATTTAAAATAATTGGTTAGAATAATGTATTTGAATGAATAATTAATATTTATTTCATTTTTTTTCTTATGATTTAATGTAATCGAATGTATTGATTATTTTAACTAGATTTTAGTCTACAATACACGTGTGTTATTTTTGACAAATCACTTGATTTCTATTAGTAATCTACCATATGAATTATTCAAGCAAGATGTATTAAGCCTAGCACATGAATATGTCACTTTATACTTTATTTTTAAGCAGAAATTGAATTTATACATCTTCAGTATTGCTATTGCTGAAGTTTTCATTGAAGCGTAAGTGCCAGGTATTATTATTTGATTTGATTAATGTTTCAATTATGCAAGTTGTCTTTTAGTATATGTTCATTATCACTTTATTAAATATTTGATGCATTACAAAATTGATTTTTGATTGAAACACAGTGTAGAAACACCAATAAGTACACTTTTATGTAAACAAGAATAAGAACATAAAATTATTCTGTAATTTCTTAACTTTGCATTTAGTGTATTTTTACGTGTGCAAGAAAATGAATGAAAAAAATGTGTTACATTCCAAGTATTATGGTAAATGAATACCGTAAAATAATATACGTAGAGGATAAAATAAATATTACGATAATTATAAATAAAGTTAACGAAGAATAAGATTGTCATTCAAAATTATGTAGATTTCATTATCCGTCAAGAAGTAAATTGAAATAATAATAACATATAATTTATGAACAGATATGTTCTAATAAAAAGTTATGGTGAAATACAATGTCAGATAGTACGTCGATTGTAGTTAATAAATATGTCTATATCTATGAATATTTAAAAAATATGTTTAAAAACAAAAATTCATGTTTTGTTTACTTAATTACTTGCTGCTCTGTACAATTAGTTGTAATAATAATAATAATAATAATAATAATAATAATAATAATAATAATAATAATAGATAAGAAGTTTTTATGATCATTAAAATTACCACAATTAGTAATTTTATAATTAGTCATTAAATAAACTCATAGATTTGAATATATATTATTGATTTAAATAAATACAGATATTTGTACAACAAAATATAATAATATTCTAATGTCATAATATTCTTACATGCTAAAAAATATTTTGAATAATTTTGAAATTGATTAAATATTAAAATTTGATGTATTAAGGTGGTAATGAATTTTAATTGGTTTTTTTTTAATTTTTTTTTTGTAAATACTACACCTTTTTTTCGTAAAAACTGTAGTCATAAATAATTAGAAAAATTTAAGTAAATGTTTTTAGTATATATACACATATTTATGTCGAAGCTGAGATTACTTAATTTTGGAACTTTTTAAGATGGAAAATATTAAATTAATCAAATATTTTTATCCGTCACTTCATCCAAGAAATTATTATTCTATTTAATATATTCTTTTAAAGAAATTTTATTCAATGGCAAGAAAGAAAAGGTTCGAAGAATAATAATTATTATAATAAGATTTATTAATGACTTTTCAATTCGCAGCAGTTTATTAAATTCCAAATTTATATTGACAAGAAATTAATTATTTCAATTATATCTTTTCTATGAACTCTTAATAAATGAATTTTTTAAAATCAGGACTCATCATTTACTCGATTCATAATCTTATGAATATTTTATAAACTATAACAATGACTTTAATCATCTTTTTCATTATTTAAATCTAATCTTCTGTACATAATATCGTATTTGCATTAGAAATACGATAATTATATATAGCAGGGAAAAGTTTTACAAGCATATTTTACAAAAATATATAATTATATGAATCTCTCAATTACGTATTGAAAAGTACATAATTAATTATATATGATATATTTATAAATTTGTCGATATTAACGTGTATTTTAAATATTATAAATTTAATGTATTCGTTTTTTTTTGTTTTGTATTATGATGTGTGTGTTTTCACGAAAGACGAACCGCAGAATCATAAATTTGTAAGATTTCTTTCGCGCAACAATAATTTACTATTCGAATTGGAAAGTAAATCCATTCGACTCATCGATCAATCTTATATAAAGGAAACGAAAGGCCGGCGTTCCTGTCGAGCAGAAGTCAACTATTAAAAGTTATAGGAGGCCTCCTCCTCGTTTTTGCTCTTGGCCCGGAGACTGAGCCTGTAGAGGGCCCCTGCGAGCAAGGCCCCGAAGAGCGGACCAACCCAGTAGATCCATTGGTCGGTCCAGAGGCCGACAATGACGGCTGGGCCGAGCGACCTCGCCGGGTTCATGCTGCTCCCAGTGAGTGGCACCGCCGCCAAATGCGCGACACTGATACTGAGGCCAATGGCCATTGGGGCCCAGCCCCTGCAGTCCTCTCGCTTCGGGTCTGTTACGCCGTGCACTACAAGAACCAGCAGGAACGTCATGATCGCCTCTATGAGAACGCCCTGGCCGTTGCTGACCTCGTTGCCCAAAAGAGTCATGCCTAGACCTTGCTGAACACCCTTGGCTGGTAAAGCTGCCTGTGTATATTTATGGATCTATACTTTTTTCGTACTTTTGTTTACGTGTTTTCGGGGAATTGATGAGACAATTTTTTCCTCTCGACCTTAGAATTTATCATATTAGAATATTTTTATTTAATAATGCAGGGTAAAGGGACATTAATGAAATACCTGACTTCGTTACATTCGTTAAAGTAAATCTCTTTCTCTTTGAGCTGGACATTCATATTTCTTTGTTTAATAAATGATTTCAATAATTTATTAATAAAAAATTTAATTACATAGGAATAGTTATATGTGTAAAATATAAGAGCGATTAAAGAATATGTATTATTATCTATTTATATTGCTTAATAGTCATCGTTAAATGAGCTTTGCAATTCATGTAAGTATATTTTAAAAAAATAATAAAATATTACTTTCATTTATTTTCGAATTTTTCGTTTAATTTTTCAATAATTTTTATGTAAAGTATTAGACTTGTATAGATAATAAGTAATTATATATTGATTTTTTCCAAATTAATGACAAAATTAAGACTGTCTTTCCCAATTAATATAACACGAAAGTATGGTCTGTATTTTTAAAAATATTAAAAATTTATATTATTTTTATCTTTAGAGTACTTTAATCTTAAATCTCTTTGAAAATAATCATTTTTATGTGGTGAAAATATAATAAGGTTGGATATATTTATATTGTAGTGAATTGTACTATTATCATTTAGAACGGTTTAACTTGCTTAATTGACTTGATTAATAATATTTAAAAATTTATATACACACACACACACACACACACACACACACACACACACACACACACACACATATATATATATATATATATATATGTGAGGCTTGAAAGATAAATAGATGGGTATTAAAGCAAGTCGGGCGATGTTTGACCAAACATGGTACTTTTACACAGATCTTCTGAGGTTTTTATTTATTTCTTCACGTTTAGCCTATTTATCAAATTAATTAGTGATTTTTATAATTTATTTTAGTATAATTTATGTCTTTCAAGAAATATTATATTTTTTATAAATGATGTTTATTATATATTTTCGAGACGGACCTAGAAACCATTAAAATGATGCAATAAACAGTTAATGATTGATTTAATTTAATTATTTATATGTTTGATATTTAATTTACAACGATCTGTAATATTTATTTATGTATAAGCCGAATTATTTTACGTAATTAGTTCTTTTTACCGATCATATACTGAGGAACTGTTATTTAAATCATATTTAAACAGGTAAACTATATATTTATGTGCTCGTATTTCCTTAATTTCATGTTTATTTATATCAATTTACTGTGAAAGTAAAAGGTAGATACAGAATCGAGATAATCGCAGAAAAGGAATTTATTATTCAAATGACTTGAATTTAATACGTGCGTTGATGATCTTATTTACTTAATCCTAACATTGTGTACTTATAATAATAATAAACAACAGATATACTTAAGACTTACTTTTAAAATTGCAGAACCGGCAATAGCGCCGCAACATTGGCAGACGACATAACATATTGCTTTGAGAATCGTGCAATTGCCACTAACGAGGAGACCAACGGTAACGGCAGGATTGACGTGGCATCCAGAAATGGGACCCAAGACCTGAAAAGAAACATTTAACATACATTAAACGTTCTCGCTATTGATTCCGTTACTTTAATCATAAATAATATCCTTGAGAAGAACAATTTTTTGCCATTACGAAGATATATTTGTTTGTGTTAAAAGTATTGCGTTCAAATTATTTTCTTCAAACAATGCCATATTCGATTAGATCATTATAATTATCATTATAATTATTTCACTTCATATAGTTTTATCGTTTAGTAAAGTATTTACAGAGATAGGAACGTAATTTGTCGTTTGAATGGTAAATAAAAAAAGTAGCATCCATTTTATTCTCTCGGATCATTGTACAAGTTTCGAATTTTTTTTTTTTTATCACTTCCTACAATGCTATAGTACAAAGCATCTTATTTATGGTAAATTAAATAATAATTATTTTATAAATAAGTTTACTACGAATATAAATTTCAAATATCCGCGGTTTAATGCACAAAGAAAATTAGTAAATTGTATTATTTTTAAATTGATTAATTTCTTGAATTTTTAAATACTTTTGAATAATACTGTAAAGTAATCTTTTGTCTAATATCAAAATACACAGGAACTACATTAATACATTAATACTCATTACATCTTATTTATGACAATTAGAAGGAGAATTAATGTTAAGTTAATGTTCATTTTTAACAATTCAAATTTTTTTTGCCCCTTACATTTAAGCTTACATTTAAAAATATTATTTATTTAAGTATTCAGATTTTCATTTAATTTAATTTATTTAATAATTTAAGCAAGTATTCAGCATATAGACATTGACTTGTTTCAACGTCTCAATCAATAACTGAAATATAGTATCTTTATCATAGCGATAGAAAAGTTTTTTAAACTTGTGTGAAAATTCTAAATTTTAAACGATAGATTATTTATTGTGAATGATAGGGGGGCACAAGTTATTCATTGATACGCAAAGTAGCTTTTAAAGGTCAAAAGTGATGGTTTACGTTTTATGTATAGACAGAGCTTGCAGTAATGCGAACGAAGTGGCGATTGTTCTTTTGCCTCCCTAATTTTGCATCGAAGGACTCGCATAGTGCCCCCTCCCCCCGCGTTCGTCATGAAGAAAAAGCGTCTTTTCGAATGACCTTGCGTCAATTCTGGTCAGGCCTGCTTTAATGAAATGCGTTCCTTCTCTGCCGCCTTTTACATTTTGCGATCTCAAATGCGAGACAGCGAGAGGTATATACCTCGGATGAGTAAGCCGCTGAGCGATGAGAAACGCGTACGAGGTTCGCCTTCATTGAAAAAAAAGCGACGAGAGAAAGAGCGAAAGAGCGAGGGAGAGAGATAAGAAGGGTGGGAGAGTAAAGAAAAGAGACCGATTAGTCAGTCAGTTGGTCGACTAAGTTTAATAAGGTGCCGGAGCCCGGCGAAACTCAGATCCAAGGTGGCAAGGGTAAATAAGGCCGCGGATTTGCCCAAGGGGGTCTAACTGTCGGGTTGTGATGGTGCAACATTGCGCCCGAAGGCTCCAGCAACCTACTCGCTTCGCTACCCGCCAGAATCGACGAGACATTCTCTTGGAGACCGTCACTCATTTTTTTTTCTTTTTTACTTTTTATATTCTCGCTCTTGTTTCTCTGCTCTAGTCCCCCTCTTCTCTCTCTCTCTCTCTCTCTCTCCGCTCTTTCTCTCTCTCTCTCTCTCTCTCTCTCTCTCTCTCTCTCTCTATATATATATATATATATATATATATATATATATATATATATATATATACACACATGTCTGTCTCTTCTCTTCTCTTCTCTTCCATATTTTCATTGTGCCTTTACTGCCGACTTTTGCTTTGCTCTCAATCGATGCGTACTTACGTGCGCGTGTGAGTACGTTGATATTTCTCCGATCCTTACCTTGACCGTATAATTCAACGATTCTTTTACTCGCTGCGTACGTATGTTATATTTGCCAAAAGTAATCGAGTAGAGTGACTGACAATACAATAGCTACACTGGTAATATATGGAATTGCAAATATCTATAATTATCAAGACTGAAAACTGTTGGAGGTATGTGTATGCAAGCCACAGTGTAATGTAAATGGCATCGACGCGAATGGGATATTAGAATTATATAAATACAGTTAAAGTTAAGTTGAAACTCATATTGAGCCATTATGTTTGTCCACTATGATCGGTGAATTTAATTTTAGTGATGTCAATTTTAATGATCTTACCCCTTATGTCTTATATCCCTTATGTTATGTATATGGTCTTATAGATTTGGACAATGGAAATCAAATATTGGCAATAATTTCGGATAATCTAACGAATGATTTGATAACTGTGTATTCATACGTGATGAATATTATTTTTAAAATATTTGAAATATATCATAGATAAACTTATATAAATAACCGATAATAATAAACATAATTACTTCTCTCTCTCTCTCTCTCTCTCTCTCTCTCTCTCTCCAAATATTCATGAATAGTATATTAAATTTTAAATAACGATTTATCATATTATTAGAATTTTCATTGATATAAGCTATGACATTGCATATTATAAGGTGATTTATTCAGAATTTGGGATTTTTATAAAAATTTGTATGTACATAACGTAGCAATTTATAAGTTTACTAACTGCTTAATTAATGATTAAATGCTTATGGAATTAATCGATGAACTAATCAATACAATTTAAAAATAACAAAATACAAAAATCCAGTAATAACAAATAAATAAATCTGGTATGAAAATTGAAAATGCATAGTATTTCCAAAAATAAATTTTAGAATAATGATAAATTGATAACTATGGTCGGTCTTATATTATTTATAGATATGTCGATTGATTTTTAAACTAATGGCATGCACAGTTTGAAAATTATATCAACCACTTGTTCGAACGAGGCAAAAAGTCTGCGAAATACGCATAAAAAAGAATGAAAGGAGCTGAGAAAATATCTGTATGGGCTATGACCCCGATATTAATATAATGGCCAGGACAGAAGGTCTACGGGAGGGTAAGTCAACAATGATAGGATGCCGTATTGAAAGGATGAAAGAGAAATAAAACGAAATAGACGTAGCCAGACTCGGCTTAAGTACAATGTGTGTTTGTAGATAATATCGCATTCGAAATTGGTTTTATCACGTCATGTGTGCCGTCTAGCTTTTTACATACGTAATTTGGTGCATTATTTCTTTATTTCTCATATCCTTTTTTATTCTTAATTAATGCTAAGGATGTCTGGTGTAAATATAAGAAAGAAGATCTTTAGTTTTTATCAGACTTGTAGAATCGGGTGTTGTTTTTGCCTTCGAGCCAGACTAAATTCCACATAATATCTAATATTTGCAATTTAAATGTAAAATTGAATTTATTTCCTTTTGATATTCTGTAAAACAAACGTCCAATGCTTATTGCTATTACAATATTGATACTTTTGATGTGATAGCAGAAAAAGTCTTAGGTACTTTTATTCATCTTTGTTTTTTCTCATTGACAAATTAATTCAATGCCAACAAAGTAATTTCAACATGTATATATTGGGATTTCTATAATGCGAAAAGAAATTTATTTCAATATATGTATATATATATATATATATATATATATATATATATTAATGAAGTTTGTAGTTCAAATATAATATAATAAAGAGCATAATTATATAAAAATTTCATATATTTTAGAATCTAAAATACGTATTACTATTATATTTTTACTATATTTGTATTTCTTTTCTGAATTTGGACTACACATTATTCGTGAACAGGCAATTTTACAATTGTTGGAAAATTTTTAAGACTAAACGTATTATTGATTTATATCATTTTGTATTGTTATACAATTAATACTATTTCACATATTTTTAAGAATTATAAATTACTAATTATATATAATAGACACGTTTTTATGCTTTTTAAGGTAACTTTATTACAAATTAATAATGATTGTAATAGATTTATTAGATGCTTGAATTAAATTTAAGTTAAATTATTCAGCTAGAAATCTGTAATTTTAGTTGAAAGTATACGAGTAAATAATTTTTAAAAATTTTATAGGTATTTATAAATTATTGAGTAAGGCAAATAAATTATTATAAAGAAAATGTAATATATCTATAGATTACGTAGGTCAATATCTCGTAAAATGAATATTCTATAATTGTAAAAAAATAAAATTAGATAAATAATTTATTTATTTTATAATAATATGATATTTCAAAAGAAGCGATATAATAAATATTTTTTGATTGAATAATAATCTCTTAATAATAATAATTTATTTAGGAAATCCTAATCTAAAGAAATAAACTTATTATGAATATAAACATGTCTTTGCAATGTTTTTGTTATCGTCAATGTATTAGCAATTATTACTCATAATATGTATAATTTATATGATGTAACTATAGAGACCACTTTGTGCATTAGAATAAAAAATATTTAAGCATGATTCATCATTAAAACTGTCCAGAGTATTCTTAAAAGTGCCCGAAGCTATTTGAATAGCGAATTGACCTAAAAATGTCTAAATGTTAAATATACTAATGCATTATCATGATTGTAAATATTATATTTTTTAATTCTAAGAAGTAAAATGATTTTAATATTTTCAATTAACTTAAAATACTTTATAAATTTATTTAGATATTAAAGAATAGAGAATTATACAAATATTTTCTTTAAATAATGCCATATTTCGTTAGATAAATGTTATTATAATTGTTTCGTTAATATGTAATTATTGTATACAAATTGTCAGTCAATCAAATCCATTTTATGTTCTAAATTAAAGTGTTCTATGCTTAGAAGAATATCAATATTTTTACTTTATTTGAATCATCAATCAGCAATGATTATTAGAAAATTTCTATTATATTTCAATGCTGTATCAATAAGGTAAAAAAGTATTTATAATAATTGTTTTAAATATCTCAGTTTTAATATAAATACTTAATTCGAAAATTTTTCTCTATTAAAGAACAATTTTTTGTATTTAATATATATTTTAAATTAAATTTGTTTATTTTCCGTTATTTAATAAACAAATTTTTTTGTTATAACAATAATTTTATGCTGTTTCACAGCATTATTAGATAAATACAATTATAATTAAAACTTGGCTGTATAATAAGATTTTAACAGTACTTCGTTGAATGTAAAATTTCAAAAATTCACATTAAATATTGCTAAAACTTTAATTTAATATTAAATTTCTTCAATTAATTAACATACCTATTATGATTTCGTACGCATATCATTTATTCTATAAGCGTAGAATTGATTGAATTAGTCCAATAATTGGATTATATTGCTTAATTGCTAAAGAATAATCAATTTAATTAAATTAGTAAAATGCCAAATGCTTTAGTTAATGTATTTAATGTCAATGATACATATACAAGTCAAATTAGTTATAAAATGTACAGGTGCACTTGCGTCAGTTTACCGTCAATTTATTAGAGCGGGGAAAGGGGCACATCGAATGTAAAAAAGAGCTCGTGAACCATACGTTGTGTCGAGGTCCCGAGGTCCCGAGAAGCATAAATATACATGGCAAGCCGGTCGAGGATTTCCTCTTTC